TTGCTAATTAAGCAATAATATAATTTGCCGTATCTTTTTTATAGGAAAAGGAGAGAGAGAGTGTGAAAAATGTTAGAATTGCATCCTCTACATGTCTAGTCAAGAGAAGACATGGTGGGAGCCAATTTCCATTTAAGTAGTATATTCTAAAATTATCTCTTAAATTTAATAATAATAAACAAAATCTTCATTTTCATTCATGTTAAATACAGCAGATAAGAAATGACAGTCTCATTTTTAAATTTTGCTGCCATTGCACTGGTGTTACAAGCTCAAACTTATGCTGGAGTGTCTGTTTTGTGTATGCTGTCTGACAGGTCTGTAAAAATGGAAGGCATCTTATCTTTCCACTTGAGACTGCATCATAATTTCAGAGACTATGCAGCAAAGTGGTGTAACAGAAAATCTGACTCCCTATTTTATGCTGTTTTGTGCTTTAACGTCTGAGACATTGTTGATTTGTTAGTACTTCGCCCCACCTTCAAGAGCAAAACATAATCTGTTAAACTTCTCAAAGCAAACAAAAAGCATTTCAATATACTGAAGACAGGATCATTCTTTATGTAATTCCCCCCCCCCCCCCATTATAATAGTATAATAATGAAACTGTATATGTATCCCGTCCTATCTCCCCGTTGGGACTCAGGGTGGTTTCTAACAAACCAGGCAAACATTCAATGTCTGTATCAAAAACAATGACCATAAAAATTAACCAAAAACGCAACAATAACAATAAACTTTTATTTATACCCCACCATTATCTCCCAAAGGGACTCGATGTGCCTTACAAGCACACAGTAGTGCCATACAACATATAAAATACAATATAACAACATTAAAACCAATAACATATTTAAAACCAAACATATAAAAATAACAAGATCAATAGAATCAATAAAATATGGCAATCAACATTAATTAAAAGATCCATACAATCAATTCAGTATCTCAGTTTCCCTCTGCTCCCCACCATCTATTAGATGTTTATTAGCATATCTAGCACCTTAAAGGAGAAATAAAAATTCTATTATCACAGAGGACACAATACAATTCCAAATGCCGAAACAGGTAATTTGCTAGAACACACACTTATAACTACTAAATATAAATAAATGTAGATAAGGAAATTAATATTATGATGTTGTGTCATATATAAATCCAAGTTGCAATTGTATTGTTCTTTATCTGATAAAGTCTTAAATAAATTTAGAATACTAAGTAGAATCAATGCTGTTCTTGTCTTCTTTTCAGTGTCATCTATCAGCTTTTTGTTCTTTTCTCTCTAACTTTTCTTCCAACGGTTCAAATAGGCACCTCATCTGGTACACCATATTTAAGAGGAAAGCTGTTGTGGTTGGAAGCCCTTGATAGTAAATTGGTTCTTCATACACACGTGCTAATAGTTAAATGGTGCGTTTACATGTGCTTGCTTTTTGTTGATCTTCAGTTGATTCCAACTCCAGGTGTACCTCAGTTAATGGAACAGATGTATTCGTAGGCATTATTTCTTTAACAGAAAAGTTGACACCCAAGGTAGAAGTAATCTGAAAAGAAGAATGGTGTCAGAAATGGTCTCAAGTGGAGCCAAAGAAGCCTATGCAGCCAATCTCTCAGAGATGCTGAGAAGGAGTATATTTCCTTGTCCCACCCATTTCTCTCCCATCTCCTCTGCCAGCTTCTTCTGTCTAAACACCATTCTTTTTATCTAGTCTCCCCAGAAGATCAGATAATTTGGTCCAGGCAGACTCCTTAAGCACTAACCACCCACTTCCCTATTTCCTCCAACTGTCCTCTCTTTTCTTTTTCGCAACTGTCAAAACTTGACTGAAATATTCTTCCCTTTCTCTCTGGCTGCTTGCTCCAAAGGATTGGGCTTTTCTTTTATTTTGATCCTGTTGTTTCCTGCATCTATTTTTGAGAACATAGATACATTAGAAAAGTGCTTCTTAGACTTTCTGGTCTGCAAACATGACATTTGTGCTCATTGTATACATTTTATTTTGTAGTTCCTTGGAAACTAGCCAGTGTTTCAGGGACCAGGATAAGCCCCTTACTTATGAGTTTGAAAATTTCCCCCTTTCGTTAAAATTTATAGCAAATAGAGACTATGACTCTCTTCTTCCTATAGCTTTTAATGAGGGATATTAGTTGTTCATTAAATATTCATACACACACAATCAAATGGTTTCTAGGAATCCTCAATCCTATTTTCAACACTTAATTGCATAATTACTTTGATTAAAAATAGTAGTTAATCATTGGCATCAAAGATTAGCAATAAAGTTTAATTTCCCATAAATATTCCACTGGCTCAAGTTTAAAGAAACAAGTTTAAAGTTTAAAGAAAGATTTATTAGTAAGGATCCACTTATGTTTGATGCAGAAGTGTTACAGATTTGTTACATAAATGTTAGCTGCTTTGCGTCTCCTTGTGGAGAGAAAAAGTGGAGTATGAATAAACATAATAATAATAGCTGTTGTTTTGGGAGGTTATATATATATGGCTCCTGGGGACAGAGCATCCTTGTGAAATTCATTGCCTGAATACGAGAGCTTGAAAGTAGCATGCTACAAGTAACAACTGTACTCACAAAACATTGTTGTTCTCTTTTTCAAGAACTATTTTTAATGGTAACTTTAAATAATGAGTATCAACTATTGGCGACATGTTATTTTAAAATGAGACAGAGATCAGAAAATTTAATTTTTTCAACTGTGACTTCCAGAATCCAGCAGTCTCACATTTTCTAAGCTGTGTAACCTGCAAGAAGTTATATTTTAAAAAACATTATTCCAACCTCTGTGAAAGTTTCACACTTCACTAGAACGTAAACTAGAAATTGAGGTATATATTGTATATACTCGAGTATAAGCCGAGTTTTTCAGCCCTTTCTAGGCTGAAAAAGCCCCCCTTGGCTTATACTCAAGTCAAGATTATTTATTTTACTCTATTTATTATTATTATTATTATTATTATTATTATTATTATTATTGCATTTACATTATTTTACTCTATTATTTTTTTACATTTTATTTTACTCTATTTGTTATTATGTTTATTTACTATTACTGCTATTATTACATTTATTATTTTACTCTATTATTACTGTTATTATTTTATTTCCATTACTTTACTCTATTATTGTTATTATAGTTATTGTTTTACTCTATTATTATTGGAAGGATATGTAGGCACATTTACATTGAAGAAGGTTAGAATAATGGTTTAATCAAAATTGTACAGTCTTATCTTACATTACAGTTTTATATAAATATTCAAAAACATTTTACCTACTGATGTCTCAATTAATGTAATTTTATTGGAATCTATTTTTATTTTGAAATTTACCAGTAGCTGCTGTGTTTCCCACCTTCAGCTTATACTCAAATCAATACGTTTTCCCAGTTTTGTGTTAAAATTAGGTGCCTTGCCTTCTATTCAGGTTGGCCTATATTCAATAATTACAATTCTCCCAGGCTATACATTTTTGCAAGGAGATAATTATGAAGAGACAGATGAAATAATCATGAGTATGGGATATAAATAAAATTAATCAAATTGGATTACTGTATCTGGTAATTCAATTTAATTAATTTTATTTATATCCCATCTCTCTTCCAGCGTGGGACCCAAGGCAGCTTCCAATAATCTTTATCAATGTACAGTATATTTGTCACAAGGATGAAAGAATTTTGTGGGATATTTCCTTTCTTTCTATCTTTCAAAATTTGACACTATTTATGCTGAACCATGTTATAAAGATGAATGAATGTTTTCAAAAGAGATCAAAGCATAGCGGCAAAACACACAAACAACTTGAGGTGTTAGCCTTTTTGTTCTTGAAGAAAATACGATTTGGCATGAACCAGTGTCACACTGACAGCAACTTTCAAATGATAGACTGAGCCATTTTGACTTGTGGGTAGATTGGGAGGTCCTGTACTATGTAGGTAGGGATGGTTGGCAATTTCTGAACTTTGCTCTCCAAGGCAGCTGCCTGGTTCACTTGTATATATAGTTGGGCCTCTCCAAAAACCAAGATGTAGTTCTAGGAGCAGGAAGAGCATATTGAAAGGTGTTCATAGGTTCTGACAGTGTAAGTCAACATATGATACTGGCATAGCCATTCTTCTGGAAGAAACAGTCAACAGTTGAATAGACCTTTGATAGAAACATGATGTATTTCATGCAAGAAGAGGGAGTCCTAGTCAGTCATTCAAAGTAGTGGTCCTTCCAATGTTATGCAATTAGGGATGGGAAAAAGCCTCTAATTATTGGTGTATCTACAGAGATACTCACAGGAACACCTCAGCAAGCAGGTGTCCAAAAGTGGGAGGCTAAAATCTAGAACCTCAAGGCATGGCAGATATTGAATGAGAGACTTCCTCCTGGGCACAAAGAAGACTGGGTGACTTGGAAGGGGTTGAGCAGTCTGCGCTCTGGCATCACGAAATGCAGAGCTAACCTTAGGAAAAGGGGCCACAAAGTGGAGTCCACACCATGCGAATATGGAGAAGAGCAAACCACAGACCACCTATTACAATGCAGTCTGAGCTCTGCCACATGCACAATGGAGGACCTTCTTGCAGCAACACAAGAGGCACTCCTAGAGGCCAGCTACTGGTCAAAGGATATTTAGTATAATGCCAAGTTTTTAAAACATTGTTTGTGTTTTTAAATGCAGATTCAGGAATTAAAAGTGAATATATCTTATTTTAATCAAGTCATACCTTGGTGTTTGCTTTTTTAATATACTTTTTGAAGTATAGCCTTCATTAAAGCTTCTCTTGAGTTATTGTTCTGTGGGATTGTCTTGGGGTGGAGGCTCCTTCTATGGAGGCTTTTAAACAGAGGCTGGATGGCCCATCTGTTGAGGGTGCTTTGAACGTGATTGTTCTGTTTCTTGGCAGGAGGTTGGACTGGATGGCCAACAAGGTCTCCTCCAACTCTATGATTCTCTGCTCTTACTCCCCCCTCTTGTTTTGTAATCTGATTCTAGACACATGAAAATCCATGAGAAGGATCCAAACAGCACTACAAGTACACCAGTGCCTGCCTCCCCATTGAAACGCAGGCGATCGTCTGCCAAACGAAAACTCAGTCAAGATCATGAGGCGGATAAAGAAGAGAGGAGTCCTGCAAAAAAGGTTTCTAAGAAACATTCATCAAAAGCATTCCTGTCTTGCATTCTCTTTCTCCCCCCCCCCCCCTTCCCTTCATGTTTATTAATTATGCCTCGGGGTGGTTTTGAAGTACTAAAGTTTTAAAATAGTATTAATGCTAAAAGTGCAATGGAAATATGAAGGAGAAAATGTCAGATAGTGTTATGATTGCTTATTTCAAAAAGAAATATTCAGCATTATGGGTTTGGAGCTGTTCACAGCATGACAGGGAGAGAAAAGAAAAAGAAATGTGGTCACTTTGCTCTTTTTTACTAGGTGCATTTTCTAGCAGCCGAACACTGATACCCATCTATAGCCATATATAAATTATATCTGGCAAATGTGGAGCCCCCGGTAGCCCAATGGATTAAACCCTTGTACCAGCAGGACTGCTGACCGGAAAGGTCAGCAATTCGAATCTGGGGAGCAAGGTGAGCTCCCCTCTGTCAGCTCCAGCTTCTCCCGCAGGGACATGAGAGAAGCCTCCCACAGGATGGTAAAACACCCAGGCATCCCCTGGGCAACGTCCTTGCAGGTGGCCAATTCTCTCACACCAGAAGCGACTTGCAGTTTCTCAAGTCACTCTTGACACGAAAAAAATGTGTAGTGTAATTTGTACACAGATGCAAAGAGGATAATACATGATTTCTCCCAAAGATGCAATAGTTGACCTTTCACAGACATTGAGTAACAGGAAGACTTTGAGACAACCACTCTAAGGAAAATTTATTGGTTTCTTCTGTATTTGTTATTCTTCTGCTCTTGTATTCTGACAATAGGAAAAAAAACTTAGGTTGTTTTGGTTGATAATGGTCTCTTTTTTCAAATAATTTCGCTTATGTGCATTGAGAAACATTGCAGTAGTAGTAGTAATCTTTATTTATATCCCACCCTATTTCCCCTTGGGGACTCAGGGCAGTTTACAACAGGCAGCGCCAAACATTTAGTGCTGTAAGGTTCTAACAAAAAACAAAACAATCAAAAGCAAATCCAACATCCACATCAAAGTGATATCAAAGATAATGACTTAACAGAATAACACAGAAGAAGTATTTTGTGTGATGGGGAAAGGAATGGAAAGGTGCCACATATGTTCAAAGCAGCCAAAACAAACTTGTAAAATAGTTGTTTTCAGTAGACTTTCAAAATTGTTCACATCTATTTTTAGGGAAGAATTTATTCAGTAAATGGGTACCAGCTCACATCCAACCATCGCGTGCAAGGCTGTTGCCATAGCTTGTTCCAAAGTCTTGAGCCACTGAAATAAACTTAAGGTGAAACTTGCTTTCTGAACTTACGGCTTGAATTGGGACTTGAATGTGAGACTATTCTATTCTCTTTGTAGCAAGTTGTGGAGGAATCACAAAGTAGAGAAGCAGAGAAGAAAGCTGAGGAAGTTTATCGTTGTCCGGTGTGTTTCAAGGAATTTTCTTGCAAATACGGGCTGGAGTCCCACATGGAGGCACACCCAGATACCTCCTTGAGGTAAGAAATAGAAGAGGTGGTTTGTGACAAAGGATATATTTCACTTGGAGAATAAATTGTTTCTGAATAAACTAGGACCTCACTCTAGATTGTGTTGGGTATTTGTTGTGAGATTCCATAATCCTTATTCCTGGTTTTCCTGTCTTTATGAGAAAGTGGTGCGGGTAACTCATGTATTGCTGATTTTCATTTTGTGCAATATTTGCAGCCTTTTTTAGTTTGTAATAACAATTTCTATAAGTCAGTATCTCCCTAATTTAATATATGGCATACTATGTGTCACTATATGCTGATATAATATGCCTCACTTAGCCACAGGCTAAGTCTTCTCTGTTGAATCTAAGTTTTGGTGTCTAAAACAATTATTTAATTGGGTTGCTGTGTGTTTTCTGGGCTGTATAACCATGTTCTAGAAGTACTCTCTCCTACCACATCTATGGCAGGCATCCTCAGAGGTTGTGAAGTCTGTTGGAAACTAGGCAAGATATATAAACTATATCTGTGGAATGTCCAGAGCAGGAGAAAGAACTCTTGTCTGCTTGAGGCAAGCGAGAATGTTATAATTGGCCACCTTGATTAGCACTGAATAGCCTTACAGCTTCAAAGCCTGGCTAATTGCTGCCTGGGGGAATCCTTTGTTGGGATTAGCTGTCCCTGATTAATTCTTGTCTGGAATTCCGCTGCTTTTTGACTGTTGCTCTTTATTTACTGTGTCAATTTTAGAGTTTTTTTTAAATACTGTTAGCCAGATTTTGTTCATTTTCATAGTGTCCTCCTTTCTGTGATTTAATTTTGAGAATATATTGTATTCGGCTTTGCATGGCTTTTGCCGGGTCACACACAATCAGTTAGAAAGGCTGGGCAATCTTATGAATACTGTTTTACTGCATATAAATAATGCAGTAATATGTATGACAACAATAAATAGGACTGTATTGTCAGTGTAGCAAAAAATGGGGAGTGGTCTTACCTTTGGGTTTGTGGGAAAAGGAGGCTGTAAATGATGGGGTTGGGTCCTATCCCTTTCCATTGCCAATTTGCAATTTAAATCCCAGACCAAAGTAAAAAGGAAGAAAAGGCTGGAATTACCTTAGTGTGTGAACAGCATTATCTTTTAAAATGCAAAATCTGGGGGTCTGAGCCTCTCTAGAGGCTTTGTTTACTCATTGTTGAATAAGACAGACACTAACCATGAGGTCACGAAGAGTCGGAGACGACTGACCGAATGAACAACAACAACAACAAAACAGTGATTAGGTGAAAGACATTCACCACCACCCTCCCTTTTTGAGGATAGTATCTTTTGATGAGAGAAAACCTTTAAATTATGCATCTTTGTCAGATAATCATGGCAAGAACAACTCTCCTGAGGGATGGGGTTGGGGATAATAGGGTCCTTTGTTACCCTGACAATAGGCTGGAACATTGAGGCACTTACCCTGGAATTAACTCTTGAAGTTTAGCATCTCCTCCCTTTGAATTTCCCTGAAGACACACCCCAGTTAGCTGCATTAGCCAGATAGAGCAAGGCTGTCTTGCTGATGTCTTCTTGAGGACCATTATCATCAGCTGAGCCAAGAGGTAGAGAAACACTGTCCTTTTCATCCCAATTCCCCCCCTGCTAAGATTATTTAAAGACTGCTGTTTTCCCTGCAAGTCTGCCCAGCCAGTGGGGCTCCTGCTATTTTGGGGCATTTATATAGGAGTGATGATATAATTAGCAGGACTAGGAAATGCCACACAGCCAATAGGGAAAACAAACAAGTCTCAAATACTAGATTTCTTCTCTTTCGCAAGCCGTGGGTGGTTTGAAGTTGCTGCAGACCTTGTAAAACTGTATTTCTCTCAACAGCATCAGCAAACGCTGAGCCAGAGTCTCTGTAAAGAGTATTCTGAAAACGGTGTTGTTGCATTTTGCATTTTTATTATACAGGTCAAGTGTTCTTTATCCAAAATGCTTGGGGTCAGAAGCATTTTGGATTTATTATTATTATTTTGCAATACTTGCATATACATAATGAGTATCTTGGAGAGGGGATCCAGGTCTAAACATAACATTTGCTTATGTTTCATATACATAGCCTGAAGGTAATTTTAAACACAATAATAATTTTAATCTTGTACATAAAACAAAGTTTATAAACACTGAACTATCAGAAAGCAAAGTTGTCACTGTCTCACTACCCATGTGAACAATTTTGGGTTTAGGAGGATTTCTAATTATGGGATATTTTCAACTTGTTTCACATTTATATTTTTTTCTTTGCCCCCTAAAGTGTCTTCACAATAATCTTTTAAGGTGTTTAAGGCTGAAATACAGTGATTGGCATGAGGTTATTCCTTGTGTCTCAAAACATATTGATCCAAACTGTTTTCTGCTAAATTCAGCATATCATCATTGGTGCACAGATTTCAAAGTATACTTTTTATGCCTCTTTTCTCTCAATATAGCAGTGTTTCTCAACCTGGGGGTCGAGGTTACAAGGGGGTTTCAGAGGGGTCGTCAAAGACCAACAGAAAACATTTATTTCTGATGGTTTTAGGAACCCCTTTGGTAGAAAAACTCATATGGGTGTGGTCTTTAGGTCACAGTTGAATCAAATTTGTGTGAATTTGCCAGTCTGCAGAGTTAATTTTCACCTTTTGGTTACTTTATTAGACATATTTACAATTACATTATTAAATACTGATTCCCCAACTCTGTCTTTCTGAAGATGTGAATCCAGTTGCTGGTCCCAACGGGAGCAGACACATTGATCCAGTATGTACATAAAACCCATCTGTAATTACAATTAGATGATGAGATTCCATTCTGAAAAAAATCACTCACTGATGCCTTGCTTGATATCCTCCTGAGTCCTATGCTCCTAATATCCTTTCTTCCTTTATTTGGCCAGACTCTTACCTGGCCATCATTGTCATTACAAAGTAAAGGAATTGAAGAGTTCCCTTTAAGCAGAACTGAAAGCTAGTATAAGTTTAGATTGCTGTTCTGCCATGAGAGTCACTAAAGTTTGCTGTTTTGCATCCTCAACAATTTCAGAAGAGTTTGCTAATTTGCATCCTGGACAACTTCAGATTTCACTTTAGGGTTGAACTGATGAAGCTAGCAGAGAAATTACATCTCTTCTGTACAGCACTAGGCACATTATAGTTGGGAAATAGTAAGTGCTCGGTGATTACTCAACCTTCCAAGAAACCACTTATAGGGCAGCTGATGAATAATGGCCATCTTGTTGGCTTTCTTAGTGTCAGCTTTTTCATCCTTGTATTCTTCTTTTGAATGACCTCTTTCCTTCCAGCAGTAGTGAGAATTGCTGCTGTTTCATCACTCTGCTCACTCTTAAAAGTGGAGTCCCTGGTGGCACAGTGGGTTGAACTCTTGTGTTGGCAGGACCGAAGACCTGATAGGTTGCAGGTTTGAATCTGGGGAAAGCGCATATGAGCTCCCTCTGTCAGCTCCAGCTCCCCATACGGGGACATGAGAGAATCTTCCCACAGGATGGTAAAACATCAAAACATCCTGTGCCCCCTGGGCAACGTCCTTGCAGATGACCAATTCTCTCACCCTAGAAGCAACTTGCAGTTTCTCAAGTCGCTCCTCACACACACATACGCACAAACCTCTTAAAGGTGGAGATGAGGGCAGCTGTTGGATGCCATTTCTCAGAGCCCTGCGCCTGGACACAGAGAAGGGTTTTGTCCTGAAAGGGGAGCAATGTGGCAAACTAGCTGGTGTTAACAGGGACATAAACCAGTGCACATTTTAACAAGGGCGAACAATGAAATCCTTTCAACAGGGAATAAGTCTTTAGCTTTAAAGTGCGAAGTAGTGTTTCCTATTTCAAAGCTACTGTATAACTCTGGAAAAAGAACAACCTTTACCTCCCTTCCCTTCTTTGAATTTTGTCGCTGCTTTTTTAATTTTGTAAGCGAAGGGGACACTTAAGAAAATTATTTCTACAACAATGATGTATTCTTCTACTTCAGTGCTTTTTTTTTGATCTGTGCAGCTTGGGTTAATTTTTTTATTCCAGTGGCTAACACCTGTGTGACCTGTATTTAAAAAGATATCTTAGTCTTATATTGATGTCTTACATATAACCAAACACTGACTAACATAGTGTAGACACTTCAGACAGAGTTAAACATTTCTATGATGTCTCCTGGGTGCTAATATAAATGGGAGAATGACAAATAAGTGATTACATTTGTCCATTTAAAATTCTTCAGGTTCCATTGAAATATTAGTGTGTAATTTGGGTTTGCTTGAAGGACATAAAAAGAAATATGTTTGGCTTTATAGGCCCAACTATAAGAAAGGAGATACCACCTGAACATTGGGAAGAACTTCCTGATTGTGAGAGCTGTTCAGCAGTGGAACTCCCTGCCCCCCAAATCAGCACCCCAAATAACCAAACCAAGTCTAAAGTTGACCAAAAACTGATTTGTAACCGTTTTGGTACTAATGTTGGAGAGTGGTTTCTGTTCAAAATGGTCCCTGGTCAAAAAAAGTTTGGGAACCACTGGTATGAAGGAATAATATATGGATATGTGCATCCTTTTTCATGCATATTTTATGGAGAAATTTTTAAAAAATCATATTCTATACAGGCTAGACCATTGGGCACTTCTCTTTTATTGTTGGAGGAAAATACTTTCCCTCCTTTTTCCTGTCTCCATCCCATCTGCAGAGATTTAAGCTACTTTATGTTGGTATTGATAAAATAAAAAGAGTTAGCTGTTATTTCCTAAATCTGACTGTTCCCATAGAACAGTTGGAAAACTGCCTTGTATATATATCATCTTCAGCTGTCACTTTAGTTAACTGTTCTATTAAATCCCTCTGTCTATTTCAGTCTCTGCTTTATGTTACCAACCCAGTCATATTAGACCTGACAGTCTGTATGGGATATTGCTAAAGTGAGAGTATTTCTTTCCCTTTTTTCCTTAACCATCATCATGCCCAAAGTATTACCATATGTTTCAAAAGCTTGTTCAGTTGATATATTCAGCTTCTTCCCTTTATCCATTCAAAAAGTCATTTGTTTAAAGCTTAACTTTGCATTCAAAAATAGGTCGCTTTCAAGACTTTAGTTTAGCTGTACAGGGTGTGTTTTACTTATGGGAGAAAAATGGGTTGCCTCCCCAAAACCTCACTCCATGCAACCTTAGTGAAATCTTGTTCTCCTTTCACCAGCCCTGATGTCTTAAAGCAGTCGTTCCTCTCTAGTAACTCTACCATGCATGGACATGGCTATCAGCAGCATGCATTGAGTTCCCCTTATTTATGCGGAAGGAATTGATATTAGGTGGCTGAACTGAGAAATTTCACAAAGTTGGTTTTTAATTTCCCCAGGGGTGGGTCGTGAGGCAATTCATTAGCCAAATCCATGAGTGGTCAAGGTACGCTAGTATCTCTATTTACATCTTTCTTTCACTCCCTCCCTACTTAAGTGTGTGCATTGAGAGCAATTCATGCCTTTGTCCTTTTTGTCACATAGGGAGCATCTATACTGTAAAATTAATTCATTTTGAAACCATTTTAACTTCCCTGGCTGAAGCTTATAGAAACATGGGAGTTGTAATTTTTCTAAGCTCCCTAGTTTTCTCTGCCAAAGGTTGCTGATGCCTCACCAAACTACAGCTTAATGATGATGATGATGATGATGATGATGATGATGATGATGATACTTTATTTATACCCTGCTCCATCTCCCCCGGGGGACTCAGGGCAGCTTACATGAGGACATGCCCATCAGTACAAAAAACACAATATTACACAAAAGCATAACACAATATAACACCAAAGCATAACAGAACTAAAAAATAAAAAACATAAAATGCAAAACCAATATAATAAGCGACACAGCAGTATAAAAGCACACAAATGTGTGTTTGTTGTTGTTTTGGGGCTTCCAGTGCTTTTGCCTAGCAAACTGCCTACCTTGTCTTCCATTTAAACTATAAAAGATTGGCATGGTCATATACCCTAAGAGAAGCTAGTTAAAAAACTGGCTTTAACTTTTGGTAGAGTCATTTGCCTTATCATACCTTGGTGTCAGTCTAGACACCTTGTCTTAGCTGTAGGCTATATTTCAGAGGAAGCAACGGACAAAACCACATCTTGAGCATTGCTTGCCTGTGAAATCCAATAAAATCCATGTGGTCGCCCTAAGTGGACAGGCAGCTTGAAGGCACACACACGTAGTGTGGTATCAAGAGTGACTTTGTGTTCACTTTCCCTTGAACTGTGAATGTGGGAATCCTTGTTGGTTAGGAGATTCATGTGCTGCCATCCTGACTGAGATGAGTCGCTATAACATTAGAATGGGTTAATATTTCCCCTGCTTCCTTGCTATCATATCTGCAAGTTGTGTCATCTGCAATGGTTTGATTGCAACCTTCTGGCCAACCCATGTAAGGTTTGTAAATCCTACAAGCCCCTAAAAGCACAAAGGCTACAGCATTATCTCCATCTTCCAGGCCTTGGGAGTGCACTTACAATGACCCCCATTGTCTTTGTGGGAGAAATTTAGAAACAAGGTGCCAGAGAGTAGGTGGGAGGTCTCAGGAGGAGTGTTGTGTTGAAATCAAGTGTCTCCGGCTGATAGAGGCAGTTTCAAAAGTCTCTGGATGACTTCCTCTGGCTCTTGTTTCAGTTTTCCATTTACAAGTCATGACAACAGGCGTTGAGTGGTACTTCGAAAGCTTTCAGGCATTGGGGTGTGTGTTATATTTTCATGATGCTCAATAGTTTTGAGATATTTTTACATGATTCTTTGCTTACAAGTTGCAGTTGTCTATATAACAGTAGAACTGCTAGAGCCTTTATTTAAATCTTCATATCAGCAGCAAGAAAACATGGCAAGCTCAAGTTATTTGAAATGTGTAGTTTTGGAAAAGACCTGTAACTCCTCCCCACATTTCTTTCTCACAAAGCCTTGTTCTTTTCTGGAAAAAAATTGAAGTACGGGACATTTTCTTTTAGAATAGTGAAGATATTTGTATTTCTACCACTTCTACTATGAATAAGTAGACTGTTGAAGGCTTTCATGTCCGGAATCCCTGGGTTGCTATGAGTTTTCCAGACTGTATAACCATGTTTCAGAAACTAACACCTCCCAACAAAGCCCCTGTAGCAACCAACCAGACTTTGAAGCTGCAAGGCCATTAAATGCTAATCAAAGTGCCCAATTGCAACATTCACACTTGTCTCAAGCAGGCAGGAGTTCTTTCTCTCACCCTGGACATTTCACAGATACATAAACCCCACTTGCCTAGTTTCTAACAGACCTCACAACCTCTGAGGATGCCTGCCAGAGAATGCTTCTGGAACATGGGCATACAGACTTGAAAACTCACAACAACCCAACTAGTAGGATTTTATGTAAGACTGCATATAGCAGGAGTATTGAAAGCAATGGTTTGTAAATTGACCCCAATCCATGAGACATCGTCATCTTGCATTCTGTGACCAGTTTTCTGGAAAGAAAGAAATGCAACACAATCAGACACAAATATGATAATGATCCCTGAAATATTAGGGGAAGAATTACTTGTAGGCACACAGCAACAACATATAAATTTACAGACTGAGTAGTAAATCCAAGAGTTGTTCAAAAAGGGAGGCCTTTTGTCAAACATCTAGAGAGCCAGTGAAGCATGGGATTGTTATGGAACTTATGGAGCGGATGCAAAAAGAGAGGGACCTGGGGCACCAACATGCTTATGACCTTAAAATAAGTCTATAGTGCATATGATTTGCCAACCTGGAAACAGCTCCCGTTTTTTCATTGTTTATGCATTGTGCCCCCTCTCACCTGCACATGTCCATCACCAATAAGAGTAGCATGAAGTGCAGGATCTGACTCCATGTAAGTATAGTTGAATGTTGACATCTCTGAGCCAATAGAATAGTTGTCTGTCTTTTCAGTTTTGTATCTTCCGTTGGCTGCCAGACCATAGAATTGCCCTGAAAGGACTTAGAGATTGCTAGACAGGTGTTCTCTCTCTAAATCTCTAGGTACTTCTGTGTGACACTAAAGTTAACATCTGTTGGAAGTTGATCATAGAGTCACCCTGGAGAATCTAAACCAGGTGTGGGCAAACCCAGGCCCGGGGGACAGAAGCAGACCCTTGGGCTCTTTTCTCAGGCCCTCTTCTTTCTCGCCATCTTATCCTTCCTTCCTTCCTTCTCTTTCTTTCCTTCCCTCCCTTCTTTCCTTACCCCCCCCCCTCTTTCTCCCTCTCTCCCTCCTTCCTTCCCTTCTACCCTTGCATCCTTCCATCCCTCTTTCCTCCCTCCTTCCCTCTCTCTTTCTCCTTCCTTCCTTCCTTCCCTCCCTCCCTCCCTCCCTTCCTTCCTTCCCTTTTGTCTTTCCTTCCTTCTCTTCTCCCTCTCTCCTTCTCTCCCTCCCTCCATTTCCATCCTTCTCTTCCTCCCTCCCTCCCTTTCTTCCTTCCCTTTTGTTTTTTTTCCTTCCTCCTGGGTGATATTTAGCTGGGAGAAGAGAAGGAAGAGAGGGAACATGAGAACCATGTTCCAAGATTTCAAAGGGTGTCCCATTGAGGAGGAAGAGACAACTGACTTTCTGCTGCTCTAGAGTCCACAGCACAGGGGAACAATGGTTTCAAATGGAAGGGAAAGAGATTCGACTGAAAAGATTAGGAAGAACTTCCTGGAGAGTGGCATAGGCTGCCTGGAAGTGTGGTGGAGTCTTTTCTCAGGAGGCTTTTCCACAGAGGCTGTCTATTGGGAGTTTCTTTGATTCTACCTTCCTGCATGACAGGGGGGTTGGACTGGATGGCCCTTGGGGGTCTCTTCCAGCTCTAGGGTTCTAGGATTCTATATCAGGAGTAGGCAATACGGGGTCTAATGGATACACTTTTTCTCTCCAGTTCACCATCTCATCCTAACTAAGGCTAACCCTTTTGGGATCCAAAAGTTTCCCATCTTTCCTTCACTTTCTGCCTCCGAAAGAAAAGAGCAAGGACAGGGAAGGGACTTGGGGAGAACCCCCTCCCTTCCACCCCACCCACCCAACTGTCCCGCCATGCGGCCCCCAAGTTAGAAAGTTTGCCCATGCCTGATATAGACATTATGAAGAGAACACATTAATCAAGGCTCTGAATAATCAAATCCTCAAAAGTTAAACCCATTAATGTGGAGGGCCAACTGGAGATAGGGTTCAGTTTTTGTAAGTCTGATTTGCACATAACTGGGTGAGCTATTTGATAGCCAATTTTCTTAACATGTTCTTTTTCTCCTCTGCCTGTCCAGGTGTGACGTCTGTTGTATTACCTTCCGCACACATCGGGGCTTGTTACGGCATAATGCAGTTATTCATAAACTACTTCCAAAAGACCCAACGGGAAAGCCTTTCATTCAGAACAATCCCTCAATTCCAGCAGGCTTCCATGATCTGGGATTCACAGACTTCTCCTGCAAGAAATTTCCCCGCATTTCTCAGGTATTTATTTATTTATTTATTTTGGCTAATTACTTGTGTAGCATTTGTGTAGCATTTAATTTGAGTACAATTAGGTAGTGATTTGATTTAAATGGACTGACGTAATCTTCCTATGCTTGGATCCTGCAAAAAATCTTTCAGTGATAAGGAGAAACCTTGGGGATATTTGTTAGTTTAGCCCCAATAAATAAGAAGTTGGAGAAGGTGAGCAACAACATTTCCATGTGTTTGAGCACTTAAAGTTGAGGTGGGATCTGTGTATTTTAAACTTGTAATACACTTTGGCTAAAATCCTACTTGCCAGGACAGATCACAAAGTTCTGTCAAGCATGATTAAGTCTCATGTCCATCACACTGTCTATGTTTTGGTACTCCCCCCCCCCCAGCACTAGCCATTTAATGTCCTAGGGAAGATGAGAGGAAGTTGTGGGAAGATGATATCATCCTCCTGGACCCCCAGAAGGTCCCTGGGAGGTCCAGAAGGTTGCCTTTTAATATCTGTGAACTGCTGCAGAAACTAAGCCTGGCTGCTCCTTGGCCTCTCTTCATCTTTTCCTGGCAGGAGCAATGAGTTCAACCCTTGTATTGGCAGGACTGCTGACCAAAAGGTTGGTTGAATCTGGGGAGTGGGATGAGCTCCCATCTGTCAGCTCCAGCTTCTCATTCGAGACATGAGAGAAGCTTCCCACAGGATGGTGAAACATCTGGGCATCCCCTGGGCAACATCCTTGCAGACGACCATTTCTCTCACACCAGAAACGACTTGCAGTTTCTAACATGAAATTTTTTTTTCCTGGCCACTGAATGACCATTTGGAGGAGGATTAGCCAGAAATCAGATGTATAGCTTGAGGAAACAGCTATAGCTAGTGAAAGTGTTACATTCTCCCACCTGCTACTGCTGAAAAAGCATATATGTGCTATGCTTGCCTGTGATACTAGTATGCTACCAGCCTTTGAATTCCAGGATGCTAGCTATGTTGTATACAAAGAAAACATTAAGTATAATTTAATGTCTGAGCCTAATTGGTACGTATTGTTCCCTTGTCAGGATTACTCTGATAGGTTTAAACGGTTTATAGTATCTTTTAGTAACTGGCGCAGTGGGTTAAACCACTGAGCTGCTGAACTTGCTCACCAAAAGGTCAGTGGTTTAAATCAGGGGAGCAGGGTGAGCTCCTGCTGTTCGCCCCAGCTTCTCCCAATCTAGCAGTTCGAAAACATGCAGTGTGAGTAGACTAATAGGTATTGCTTCAGTGGGAAGGTAACAGCACTCCATGCAGTCATGTCGGCCACATGACATTGGAGATGTCTACGGACAACGCTGGCTCTTTGGCTTAGAAATTGAGATGAACATCACCCCCAGACATAACTTAATGTCAAGGGGAAACCTTTACCTTTTATAGTATTTTTTGCCCTCCTACAGACTAGTGTCATAACCATCCCTGCCTGTGACATTGGTGTACATTTCAGAGAGAAAAAAATCATACAGAAGCTGGTCATCCTGGTGAACATAGGCCATTGACCCAGTTTTGCAGATGCATCTCTTTCTGTAAACACGAGGACTAGCAACTTGATAGCTTGCTATCTAAATTTGGTCTTCATGTGATATGAACAAATGTTCTTGTTGCCTTCTCAGAAATCAGTTGCAATATCCACAATATCTGGGGTCCCAAGGCAGACTGCAGTTCCTTCCCATGATTGTGTTGTTGTTGATTATAGACTTCTTACATCTCTTCTAAAGGTTGTAGAAGTAAACTCCTAGGCCAAACCATTGGCTAATGGGCATGGGAGATGGTCCTTTTAGGCTAGAAGGACCTGGAAAAGTTGTTCACTACAACCTTAGCAATAGATTCTAAGGATGAATGATTTGAAGTTTCAAATGCAGGTCTTGTTCTGCTGTCCCACACTATTTCATCAAAGCTACTGTGTCATTCAGCTGTCTGAGAATCTAAAAAACTGAAGCCATGTGCACTTGTACTTACTCTCCGTCTCTCTCATTCTCTCCTCACTCATAATGGAAGTGTTGTGCTTATATACTAGAACACAAGGGACAGTACACACTGTCTGCTGTTCGAGCCTGAATGTCTGCTGCTTCTTCTCAGGATGGTTGATGCTATTAGTTCTCTTACACCTATTTGCTCTCTATTGTTTCTAGGTCTGGTGTGAAACAAACTTGCGGAGGTGCACCAGTGAATTTCATCGGTATGTCTGTGAAATGTGCAACAAGGCATTCCCTATGCGCTCAGCACTCAAGCTGCACACAGAAACCCATGCAACTGATCAGGGAAAAGAAGAACACAAACTGCAGTCAGAGGATGCAGACCTGAAGGCCTACATGGAGTCCTTGGGACTGCGACATACCAAAGATGTTGAATCTGCCAAGCAGGAGGAGCTTGCTCCAGATGATGAGGTCCAAGAAATGCAGCTAAGAACACTGAAGTGTAATCTACCTCAGGAACCTGGTAATGCTAGCCAGTTGAATGTGTCCCCCCTGGAGACTGCTGCTGTGGGTGGACCTTTCTCAGTCCTTCCCCCTACAAAGGAAAACATCAAACTCCTGTCACTACAGCCTTTCCAGAAGGGCTTCATAATTCAGCCTGACAACAGCATTGTTGTCAAACCCATTTCTGGAGAACTAGCAGACATCCAGCAGATCTTAAAGATGGCTTCTTCAGCAACCCCACAAATCAGTCTCCCCCAGCTTGCAAAGACTTCTCACATACCTGTGCAGTCTATATTCAAGCATATGCCTCAACTGAAGCCAAAGCCATTGGTAGCACCTCGGACTGTGGTGGCAACCTCAACGCCACCTCCATTGGTCAACACTCAGCAAGCCTCACCTGGATGCATCAGTCCAAGCCTTCCTCCAGTGCCACCCAAGCTGATCTTACCCTCAGAAGAGTCAACTTCAAACTCCCATCTTTCACACAGTAAATCGGGAGCCAAACCCAGCCCTTCTGACCAGGAGAAGATGGAGCCTGTGAACCAGCATGAAATCAAAACACAGCTAGAGCAAGACAGCATCATCGAGGCTCTTCTGCCCTTGACCATGGAGGCAAAGATCAAACAAGAAGTGACAGAGCGAGACTTCAAAGCCATCATCACTGGGACGGCAAACAAGAAGACCCCAGCCATGAGGAAAGTCTTGTATCCCTGCCGCTTTTGTGACCAGGTGTTTCCTTTCTCTGGGGTCTTGAGGGCTCACATACGCTCCCACCTGGGCATCTCCCCTTATCAGTGTAACATTTGTGATTACATTGCAGCCGATAAAGCAGCGCTGATCCGGCATTTGCGAACACACAGTGGAGAGAGACCATACATCTGTAAAATCTGCCAATATCCTTTCACGGTGAAAGCAAACTGTGAAAGGCACTTGCGCAAGAAGCACCTGAAGGCAACTAGGAAGGAGATAGAAAAGAACATTGAGTACGTCGCCAGCAATGCAGCTGAGATGGTAGATGCCTTTTGCTCCCCAGATACAGTGTGCAAGTTCTGTGGGGAAGACCTGAAGCATTACCGTGCCCTCCGCATTCATATGCGAGCACACAGCGGCTGTCAGAAGAAAAAGCCATTTGAATGCAAGGAGTGTGGCACTGCCTTCTCGGCCAAGCGGAATTGCATCCATCATCTCCTCAAGCAGCATTTGCACATCCCAGAGAGGGAGGTAGAGAGCTATGTGCTGGCTGTGGAGTGCCAGGCTCCAGAGAGCCAACCGGGTCCCTTGCAGTTACTGGAAGGTAGCGCTTACACAGACTGCAAGCCCATCACACCTTTCTTGGAATCACAGAATGGTGTCTTAAGGGGCACCCCCTCTCATGCATCGATCAAACTTGAAACTGCAAATAGCTTCCCTAGAAATTTCGATGAGCCTTTAGATTTCTCACAAAAGAACAAAAACCTGAACTCTGTGCTAGTAAAACAGGAAAATCCATTTGATTCCTCTCTCTATGATTGTTCCATGGAGCCCATTGATTTGTCCATCCCTAAAGCTCCAAAGAAGGAGAATGAGGAGACCTTAAATGAGGAGAAGAAGCAGGAACCTTTTGATGGACATGAAGAAAACCTTCATAACTTTGAGCACTCTGCTCCAGCTAATGGCAACCTGGAAAACCGTGCTATCCGACGGTCCCAGCCAATGAAGGGTCCACTGCATTTGACTGTCCCAATCATTTCTCCGACCCTCTTGGGGAACTCAGCTTTGTTGCGACCCTTGAGGCCCAAGCCACCCCCTCTCTTGCCAAAGCCCCTCATCACTAAAGAGCTGCCACCTCTTGCTTCCATTGCCCAGATCATTTCGTCTGTGTCTTCTGCCCCCACTTTATTGAAAACAGACTCGATTCCCACGGCGCCCATCGGCAACTCCACTGGGACCGAAAAGCCAGGGAACTCTAAACCAAACATGACAATCATGGCTGCTGTCCAGCCCGATCCTGGCATTCCCAGTGATTTGCCGGAGCGTGCATGCAGTCCAAATCTATCCCAGAAGTCTCCCACTCCTGGATCTGTGAAGAAAAGAGGCAGAAAGAAAGGAACAAAAAACAAGCCCAAGGCAAGCAGTGGGGTGGACCTAGAGTCGAGTGGGGAGTTTGCCAGTATAGAGAAGATGCTGGCAACGACAGACACAAATAAGTTCAGCACATTTCTCCAGTCAACTGCGGACTTTAAGGAAGTAGCTGATAGAAATGGAACCAGCGAAGAGGAAAGAGAAATCACTGAAGATAAACTTCTGAGAGGAAAGAGGAATGCTTATTCAAACTGCGTACAAAAAATGAAGTGTCCTCGTTGCCCAAGCGTTTTTCCCTGGGCAAGCTCTTTACAGCGGCACATGCTTACTCACACAGGTAAGAGCTATGCTGTGTAATGGGCTTAGGGACATAGAAACTAGTACTTGTTGTTGAACAGATGTTGTCATTGGTAGACCAGGGCCTGGATATGATTCTGCCTGGGAAGCACATCAACATACCTGGTCCAGAAGAAATTGCCAGGATAGATTCGAAAAGTATGCAAACTGTAATATACGATCTCTGCAGGGTAAATTTCACAGTACTTTGAAGTCAAACACTCTAAGTAACAATGTAACTGATAACATTAGAATGCGATTTTCCTGCTTCTTGGCAGGGGGTTGGACTGGATGACCCACGAGGTCTCTTCGAACTCTGTGGTTTTATGATTCTATGATTACCTTTGCGGTAATGTGAGCATTATAATTCTACTTTTGCAAAATAATATGATTGGCGACATTGTTACTTTTAATAATAACTATTAACATTGGTTAGTTAATTCAAGGTTGTATTTGTCCCGCCCCAAATATATCCAGCCACTTTCTTATGTTTTATATGGATTCCTTCCCAAAGGAACTGAAAACGATTGTATAAATTGGGGGTCCTCAAACTAAGGCCCGAGGGCCGGATATGGCCCTCCAAAGTCATTTACCCAGCCCTCGCTCAGGGTTAAGCTAAGTCTGAAACAACTTGAAAGCACACAACAACAACAACAACAACAGCAACAATCTTATCCAAAAGCAGACCCACACTTCCCATTGAAATACTAATAAGTTTATATTTGTTAAAATTGTTCTTCATTTTAATTATTGTATTGTTTTTAAGTGTTTTTGCACTACAAATAAGATTTGTGCAGTGTGCATAGGAATTCATTCATTTTTTTCCCCAAATTATAATCCAGCCCTCCAACAGTTTGAGGGACTGTGACCTGGCCCTTTGTTTAAAAGGTTTGAGGATCCCTGGTCTAGATCATGCACTGCTATCGGAACAGCGATAATTTGCAGAGTCAAATCTTGTCTTATTTCATCTGCAGGGCAGTGAAAACTGATGTATTGGTTTGAATGTAATGGCATATATAATATTACTGGCTCATACGTAAAGAGGAGGAAATAATGGAATGTTAACACCTAGTGCAGTGGTTCTCAACCTGTGGCATTGTTTTGGCCTTCAATTCCCAGAAATCCTAACAGCTGGTAAACTGGCTGGGATTTCTGAGAGTTGTAGGCCAAAACATCTGGGGACTTACAGGTTGAAAACCACTGACCTAGTGGATGAAAGTTAGTATATGGACAGAAGAAAGGTTCCCATTGTGATAAAACATGGTTTGTTGAGTGATAGATGATAACATAATATCTAAACACACATCTTCATGTAGGACAGTGTGGAAGATCTGTGACTTTCCAATAGTTTTTGAAATTCCTATTAGTGCTAGCATGCATAATCAATTATGAGAGTTACAGCCCAAGAATATATGGGAGGCTACAAGCCCCCACCTTTGGAATAGATACTTCTTTTCCTGGAAAACAGTACTGGACAAATCATAATTCAAATTTTGTTCTGTCCTAGATCCAGCACCCATAATTTAAAAGATTGATGGGCTGGGGAAGTTTCATGACTCAGACCTTAGGGAGCCACTATCATTTGGGTAAACCACCTTTCCCAACTAACATCTATATGTTTTGGCTTACAGTTCCCATCAGGATTTTGAGAATAGTCGGGGAAAATTGGTGAGAACTAGGTTTGGGGGAACAGGTCAGTAGAATTAGATTAGATGGATCATAGATCAGTTTTGGGCTTTGAAATGCATGTTCCACAGTTTTGTTGAGATGCGAAAAACAATTTGTGTTTGAGATGAGATGAGAGTGCAAACAGCCGCTTTAGCTCCTCAAATGGCTTTTTCGTTTGTAGGAAGTTAAATTGAAGATCTAGCCATTTCTTTCGAACCCTGTCGGTTAGAAAAGTTGCTGTAGAAGGTGGATTTGAAATGGGGAAACAGCTGCCAAGTGAACCTGAGCTGTTTTCACATTGGCTTGTTTTTCCTTCACTGCTTGGCTGCTAAAAGTATCATTTCCTTCCACTGTGGAGTTTGCAAAGTGCTCATGGTAGAGCAATTGTCCACTTAAACACTTTAGGTTTAGTTACTGCTGAAAGATTATGAGCCTACCTGGTAAATCTTTCTGTTGTTGGCTTTCTAGCTCAGACTCTGTAGCTGAAGAAACCAAAATTATTTTGTAATTTGTTGCAGTGGTCTGAAAGCTCAGACTGGGTTTTGAGAAGTGAATATAAGAAGTGGGTAGTTTTGTCATTTGATGTAATGCTCCTCATACTTCTGTTGAAAGGATCAAGTAGTCGTTGCAGAATTTTCTACAGGAGAGGATATGCTTTGGAGGCAGCTGGGCGGATCTGATATCCAAAAATCACTTTCTGCTCACCTGAGGGATCTAGCGCCTATTTTCATAAACAGCTTGCCTCAAGTATACCGAAGTACATTCTGCAATATCCTAAAGTAAAGAATATCTCTCAGGATATTGAGTATTCCAGGGAGGTAATTGTTATCTTGCATTCAAATAATCTTCATTGTCGTCCAGACGAGTATAGTGTAGACCAGTGTGGATATCCCCATACTGGAGCAACTGGTCATGATAAAATAATGCTTATTGATGGTTGAGTCACATCAAGTGAAAAGCATCAAGTGATATCACAACAGGTGTTGTCACAGAGCCTCCACAAAAAGGTTCTTTAAAATCTGCTTTCATGAAGTGATTGATAAGAATTTCTATTACGGTAAATAATTCCATTTTGGAGTCTGAAGCCACTCTGAATATCCTGCTTTTGGCTGTACTTTAGGGCCAGACATATGCGCTGTGGCGATGACTCACTTGCTTGTGCAAAGAACTGAAGGGGAAGAAGATAACAAAATGTGAAGCTTGTGGCACATTCCTAAATCCTGACTTGCCCTAGGAAGATCCCTGGCATCCTTCCATTGCAGTAGTAGCTAGGGCTTTTATGTTGTTAAAAACAATGGTTGTTTAAGTGGATAGTCATTGTTACTCATGGTTTTGGTTAATACGTTAACATCATTTTTGCTGGTGTACTGGGGTGTGTCTATATGGTTTGGATTATTTTATCTGGGTGGAGAGAAGGTGGTTCACAGGTTAAGCTATAGCCAAGTAATTAACATTTCAAAAAAAGTAAGAACCAGAGATGGTCATATTTACTCCATGGTAAGTGCTGTAGGAATACATTCATTAATAGAAGCAAGCCTATTTAAAATGAACTGCTGTCACACCTTTTTAATATTATTACTGTTGAATCATATTTAGTATTGAATTTATTACTTTTAAAAATACTATGACAATAATCTAACTGTGTTGTTATTACTGTCTTTCTGTTTTCAGGATACTCCTTCATTTGTATTCATTGACAATATATTCACTTCCGATTACATAGCTTCTATACATGCCAACACCATGTAGTACATATACATGTGAATCATGCTTGTGGACAGTTTTTTTTCAAACTATTGATAAGCCACCTGAAGTTTTTCAGTGTTCTGAAAACATTGTGTGTGATTCATTGATACAGAAACATGCAACACTCCTTAGTTTTATGTGGAAAGGTCTTTTTGGGTATTCTTGGATGCCAGCCATCTATTTAAGCTTATGAATTGAGCATAAGTAAAATATTATCTGTGGGAAAATAGATTATTGCATTGGCATAGGGTTGGATAAGATGGCCCTTGGGAACTATTTCACCTCTGTGACTCCATGAAACAATCCTCAACTGTCATTTACCTGGCCAAAATTGAGAAAAAGAAAGAAACTATTTTTAGGCAGAAAAGATAAGCAAGATACTTTTCTAATAAATGAAGAAAAAGTTGCAATAATGGGTTGATTAATAAACACATGAATGTATAGCTGTATATAAATGATTGTAAAGTATACCTAGTATAACTGGTTGCTCAGTGCAGTTCAAAGCAGGAAGACATTTGTTTTAAGTGGTCTTTACTAGATTTAAATACATGTGTAGATTTTCTACTCCTACCCTGAGTACAATGTAGTATGGCTGATGTTTGCCTTTTGTATTACCAAGAATCTTGACTCAAGATTGGCTTAGGATAATAACTTATATATTGGCAGGAGAATGCAGGCAGCACCAATCTTTTCTTTGGCTTGGTCATAAGATACAACAACAACAACAACAACAATAATAATAATAATAATAATAATAGCAGCTTTATTTTTATACCCATCTTCCCCAAAGGGGCTCGGGGCGGCTTACAAGGGACAAGCCCAAAAATACAGATTGAAATGCACACAATAAAATAAATCAACAACAAATAACAGGAAAAAAATCACAATCACAGTAGACATTTTAAAAACCGTATCATGGCTGAAAGATTAATGCTAAGTGCGGAGGGATCAGGGAATATATAATTGTTCCAAGATAGAGCCAAGGGAAAGTGCAATATATGCTTCAAATTCAATTAAAATCTGAGCCAGAGCTTGGGGGCGGGGGTGGGGGGGGTGGGTAACGTCCATTGGCATTTACAGAGCAGGATTACAGGAGAATTTCCTAATCAAATGCACAATGGAACATCCAGGTTTTTAAGTCCTTGCGGAAAATGAATAGGGTAGGTGCCAATCTGGTCTCCTTAGGTAGAGAGTTCCAGAGCCGAGGGGCCACCACCGAGAAAGTCCTTTCCCTCGTTCCCAACAGCCACGTTTGAATGCTGGACTACTGTCCAACATTCACCATAGTTACTTACTCTTAACATTCTTATATTAGTAGCGAAATCAGTCTGTTTGATTTTTTTCCCTTCATACTGCTTGTGAACTTGGCAGCAGAAAGTCGCGATTTGTATGTTAAACAGAGTTATGTGAATTGTCCCAAAGACAGATGCAGACTTGTAGCACTAATTAGCCAGCTGATTATCCTTGATTATTGGTGGCAGCGCATGCACCTTCCAAACTGTGCCTAGATCTGGTGGAAGTTGATCCTACTAGGTGATTTGCATCTCCTAAGCGATCTTCGTGCCCTGTCAAAATTTTGTAAGAGTGACTTGATACGATATGGAACAGTGACTATGCAGAGTCCTTTTTGCCAGCCTTCACAGTGCATTCCCATGCTAAAAACATAACCTTTAGGTTCTGAGTCCTTCTCTTGGGGGAAAAGGCTTGTTCTAAAGTAATTGATCAACACTATAATGTTTCCCGCCCACTGCAACTATTAGTCTTTGGGTCCAGTTTATTTTGCAATCTTAATGTCAAATTTGCACAGCAGAAAAAGTACTTTGTGTGACAAGTGCCTTTACAAAACTGGGGTTTCCCTCTCAAGCCAAAATTGCCACTTGAAAATAGAGGATGATTTTCAGGAGCTATTAAAGTACACGAGAAGAGTTGATTTTTCCCTTCTCAGCTGTCACTACCTTCCCCTTGAGCAGTTAGGCTGAGGGAGAGAGATGTCATTAATCTAAACGTAGGATTTAATTTTTTAAATATCATTTGTTTATATGTTTATTCAGAAGCCTGAACCTGCAGCTACCTCTGGGGTGGTCTTGCTGCATGAAGTCAAGGCAGGCTCGCTGTATATGCATTTTTGCCCTATAACTCCCCAAATCCTTCATCCCAATGAAAACTGGTTGAAATAAATCACTTGTCTAAGCACTGAAAAACAGCAAGACAAATAAGAGGACACACAGAAGTTCTTTGGATGCACTAGAAAGAAAGATAAATATGTTTTTTTCCCTGCTCCCTTCAGGTCAGAAGCCCCACCCTTGTCAAAAATGTGATGCCTTCTTTTCCACCAAATCTAACTGTGAACGCCACCTCTTACGCAGACATGGAACTGCCACCTACTATCTGAGAAGAAATGGGCTTGTTCCTCAGTCTAAAGAAAGTGATGCTGGAGCTCATGATAGCACAGGTAGCTCTTTTAGGTTGTTCCAGAACGTAAAGTCAAGTCATGTTCCTTTCTTGTTTGGGGCTCGGGAATACGTGAATGAGACATGATCCTTACTTCTTAAGGAACTGAGGATCAAACAAATGCTCTGGCAGTGTAAACCCTGGCAATTTGGCCACTGCCCCAACCTTTCAGGGGAATTATGTGAGTTGTAGTCCAAAAATAACTTCCAATAGAAATTAGAATGACTCCTTCTTTGTTTTGTTTTCAATGGGCATTCTTTTCTAGCAAGCTTTTGGAAACTGATTTTAATAGGCATTCATGGTGCAGTACTTTTTTGTTTTGTTTATTTGAAAGTAAGGTTTTAATTAGTTTAAAATCTACTGTTATTCAATAACTACAGCTGTGCCTCCACATTTGTGGTTTTAATTTTTCACCAATTTGATTTAAAATCTCTCTCTAGGTCCTACAGCAGGGGTCCTCAAACCTTTTAAACAGAGGGCCAGGTCACAGTCCCTCAAGCTATTGGAGGGCCGGATTATAATCTGAAAAAAAAAAAGAATGAATTCCTATGCACACTGCACACATCTTATTTGTAGTGCAAAAACACTTAAAACAATACAATAATTAAAATAAATATAAACTTATTAGTATTTCAATGGGAAGTGTGGACCTGCTTTTGACTGATGAGATAGGATTGTTGTTGTTGCTGTGTGCTTTCAAGTCATTTAAGACTTAGGTTGACCCTGAGCAAAGGCCGGGTAAATAAACTTTGAGGGCCGTATCCGGCCCCCGGGCCTTAGTTTGAGGACCCCTGTCCTAGAGTGTGATTCTATGGTCAAGTTCTTCCTGTTGTGTTAGAAGGTCTAGATTTCTAGAAAGAACACATCTCTAGTAACTTCATCACACTAGAGAATGAATCTACTTAAAATCTGGTTTCTGTCTCCTACAAAAGTTTGAGGTTTAGTGAGAGCAGCCCCCGGTGGTGCAGTGGGTTAAAGCACTGAGCTGCTAAACTTGTTGACCAAAAGGTCACAGGTTCGAATCCGAAGAGTGGCGTGAGCTCCCGCTGTCAGCCCCAGCTTCTGCCAGCCTAGCAGTTCGAAAATATGCAGATGTGAGTAGATCAATAGGTACCACTCCGGCGGGAAGATAACTGCGCTCCATGCAGTTATGCTGGCCACCTGACCTTGGAGGTGTCTATGGAGAACGCTGGCTCTTCGACTTAGAAATGGAGATGAGCACCAACCTCCAGGGTCGAACACGACTGGACTTAATGTCAGGGGAAAACCTTTACTTTTACTAGTTTAGTGAGGCTGTTAAAGTCTCCTCTCTAAACTACAAACCCCAGAATTCTGTAGAAGGCAGCAACCAGATTTAAAGTGGATTCATTCTCTAGTGTGATGAGGTCTCTTGATCCTCCAATGTGATTCTCTATTCAGCTTCCAGGGGAAGTTAACTATAGAGTCATTCTGGAAAACATTCAGATAAAAAATATATAGCAATTTATTTATTCGTGCTTTCTCACTTTCATGGGTATCCTGTGCCCCTACACCCAGAAGATGTGGAAGGATGACAATATATCTGTTTTCTCTGCCTTTTTGTAAATTGCCTTGAGTCTCAATCTGGAATTAAGGAGGGATATAAATAAAGGGATTGATGTATGCATGGAAATTCTGTATATATGGTATAATGTGCTATTCTCATTTTTCCTATAAATGAGTTGAGGGCACATTGAAATAGTCTATTATGAGCAGGCAACATATAGGTTTTCCTTTTCCATCTCCTGGTTTGAAATTATTTTCTTTAGAGTTTTTCTCTTCATGGGGATCAGAGATAGGAAGTAACAACTGCTAAATGGTTGGTAGGGGAAAATATTTGGCACTCCTGCATGACTCACACTGGACTTTGGTGGCTCATCCCTTCTGTCTAGGAAATCAGCAAGGCTCACATTTTAACATTAGTTTGGCCCTGAAGGGTGTGTGTGATCAGCAAAAGAACAAACTGATTGCAGTGAAGATAGTTGTGGTTGCCATTGTTTCTGGTCTGATTAGATAGGTTACAACAAGAGGTCTGTAATAGTCCTGTTACTTACAGAATCCTGTGTGTGAAGAGCACAAATACTTCAAAGTCATGAGACAATGTTTGCATTAGTTTCAAAGAAGATAATAGTAAACTTCAGAGTGCCTTCTCAAACTATTGTGTGTTTGAAATCTTCCTCAGAACAGCAAATGGGGAATGTATTCCTCACAGCAGTACAAAGTTGCAAGTATTCAGACTTTTCTTGTGGTAAATCATATATATTTCAGCTTTGTAAAATTATTCTCATTTATCTAAAACCCTTCTTTATCAGCTCTGCTGCACTAATACGCAAAACACATTCTGATCACTATGTTGTGAGTTTTCTGGGCTGTATGGCCATGTTCCAGAAGCATTCTCTCCTGATGTTTCACCTGCATCTATGGCAGCCATTCTCATAGATTGTGAGGTCTGTTGGAAACTAGGAAAAATGGGTTTCTGTATCTGTGGAATGTCCAGGGTGGAAGAAAGAACTCTTGTCTGTTGGAGGTTGGTGTGAATGTTTCAATTGGCCATCTCGATTAACATTTAATGGCCTAGCAGTTTCAAGGTCTGGCTTCTTACTGCTTGGGGGAATCCTTTCTTGGGATTAGCTGGCCCTGGTTGTTTCTTGTCTGGATTTCCCCTGTTTTTGAGTGTTGTTCTTTATTTACTGTCCTGATTTTAGAGTTTTTTAAATACTGGTAGCCAGATTTTGTTCATTTTCATGGCTTCTTTCTTTCTGTTGAAATTGTCCACATGCTTGTGGATTTCAGTGGCTTCTCTCTGTCATTTGACATGATGGTTCAGTTTTCCCTGTTTGAGAGAGGGCCAGTCTGATTATGACGGTGATGTTGCTGCTGCATTATTTGATTCATTCATATACTGCATTTCTCCTAGTAATGAGACTCAAGATACTTAACATATTTTCACATGCAAATGAAAAGCTATCAAACTTCAAAATAGTAATAAAGTTTAAATATTACAGACATTACAATTTATTAAAAGACTATTCAAACCATAAAACAGTGCAGCATTAAATTCCCCTCCCATTCAGATTCTAAAGCCTGTTGGCACAAGATTGGTTTCAGTTGCTGATGGGAGAAGAGCAAGGAGGGAGTCATCTGCTCTCCATGAGTGAGGTAGTTCCAAAAAGTTGGGAGTAGCCACCAGGTAGACCCTCTACCTTGTACCCACCAAATGAACCTGAAAATGTGGTTGGGAAAGAGGGAAGGGCAACTCCAGAAGATGTTGTTGTTTTTTCATTCATGTTATTCATTATTCATTCTTTGTGACCTCATGGACCAGCCCATGCCAGAGCTCCCTGTCGACCATCGCCACCTCCAGCACCTCAAGGTCAAGCCAGTCATTCAAGGATAACATCCCTCCATCTTGCCCTTGGTCAGTCCCTCTTCCTTTTTCCTTCCTCCATAAGATCTTAGTGCTGTAACAACAACAATAACAATAACATTAACAGTAATAATAATAACAACAACTTTATTTTTGTATCCTGCCACCATCTCTCTGAAGGGACTTGGGGCAGCTTACATGGGGACGAGCCCGATCAACATAGTTTAAAATATAACACAATCAAATTGATAAAAACAATATCATGAAACAGTATAAAACAACCATTGAACAACAACTAATAGGTTGACATAGTAAACAATTTCTGAGCTTGGGTGGTGGGCTGATGTAAATCAGTTACAAGAACAGGGCTGATGGATAAAGTGCAAAAGCTAGATGACAGATTAGGAGTAGAGGGGCAATATGAAGTAGAAAACTATATCTATAGGCAGGTAACTGTAGTAAAGTGCAAGGACTCAATCTTGTGTCATAGCTGGGGGGACCATAGTTATCTGGGTACTGTTTAATCGAAAGTGCAGTGTAACATCCACATTTTAGGTCTTTACAAAAAGTGGATAGGGTGGGTTCCAGTCCAGTCCCCAGGTGGGCTCCCTGGGGAGAGAGTTCCAGAGCCGGGGAGCCACCACCGAGAAGGCCCTCTATCTCGTCCCCACCGACTGCGCTTGTGGCGGAGGTGGGAGTGAGAGGAGAGCCTCCCCAGAAGATCTTAGACATTGTGCAGGTTCATACGGGAAGATGCAGTCGTGAAGATAGCTCCATAAAGGGCAACATAGTCCTTCAATTAGCCTAGACCATGCCATATAGGGCTTTATAGATAATCACTAGCATTGTTCTGGACCTGGAAATGAATAGTCAGTCAGTGGAACTGTTTTAGCAAAGTCATTATATGCTCCTTTTGTGATGTGGTGGCTATGAAAATGATGGTGAAACTTTCTGCTCTAACTGTCTCTAAGAGCTAATGTGGTACTTTAGTTGTGAAGTTTTGTTCGATCCTCTAAAGATGTGCTTTTACTTGCCTACATACAGGTAAGTGTGCCATGTTCACTCTAGTGACATTATTCATGGATGATGCTGTGGAATAAATGGGGGAAAACTTCTTAAAGTTAAAACTGAAATCAAAATGTCAGTTGTTAGGCTTTGGTAGCTGCTTGTTTTTTACATACTGAGTCCTATACATAGTGAAAGGAAGACACATCTGGGATCCAGCCTTTAGAGTCTGGGTAGCTATAGGCATTACTCTCCCATCCCTCCCACTGAATTTTGCACTTTCCTTTAGCTCTATCTAGGAATTTTGCACAAACTCAGAGCCCTCTGAACTCAGCACTTTTATTGCTCTCCATGGTACTGTTTTTATGATGTTATGTTTTATTGTGTTGTGTTTTTATTTGGTTTTCTTTTGATTTTATTGCATTTAGCTCTTTGGGCTTGTCTCATTGTAAGCTGACCCGAGTCCCTTCGGGGAAATGGAGGCGGGATATACAAATAAAGATTATTATTGTTGTTGTTATTATTATTATTATTATTGATATTTTTGCCCTTCTCTGGGTGTAATGTAGAGGTAGACTGCTATTACTTTTTGATACATTGCTGCAGAGAGTTACAGTTACAGTTATCCAAGAAAACTGAATGAGAGGTATAATTGGCAGCAGTATGTTTGTGAGAAGGCAAGTGTTCCACCTAGTGGAAGCTTTTTGGAATTGGGGGTGGAGGTGGGGGGGGGGGGGGGGGGGGGGGGAGAGGGATCTTGCCATTTTGCAAAACCTAGAAGCGACTTTAAAGGTGTGCTAGAAGCCCTACTGTTTCTAATCAATAATCTTTACTGATGTTCTAAAAGCTGTTAGAACAACAGTAAGAATCAATATGATACAATGCCAATTCCTGGCAGAGCCTTTGAGCTGACAATACAGCAAAGCATTATGGCTTGCTCTTTCTTTCTTTCTTTCTTTCTTTCTTTCTTTCTTTCTTTCTTTCTTTCTTTCTTTCTTTCTTTCTTTCTTTCGTGAATGTGTGAAATATTTACAGATCTTAACAATTGTATGTGGTCAAGAAGGACGTGTGTGTCACTCGCTTTATGGGGATTGTAATAAATAGAATGACCTGTTTAGATTTTGCTTCTCCCTTAGAGGAGTGAAAGAATGACAGGAGTTCTCTAGGGATCCTTACAGTTGATTATACTTAAAGTCCTTGGGAGCTGGCATGCTTGCATTACATAACTGACTGTTATGCAAATGACACACTCCTTTATCTCACACATTCATATGTAGGTATTTCAGTTAGACCTGTTTTTTAATCCTCTGAAGTTCCACCCAGCTGCTTGTATGACTTCAAGGTTTTTAGAAGTGAATTCCTGTCCCGCCCCACCCTGGAAGAGTTTCTCCTTTAACCATGAAAAGAATGCAGACTGAACTCTGCTTTCCATTGGGCAGTACGTTCACAAAAGCTGTGCTACTGAATTTGTTCTAAATTAGCCGCTWTCTTAGGATGGATCTGCACTGTCATATAATCCAGATTATCAAAGGAAGTAGTCCACATTATCTGCTTTGAATTGGATTATATGAGTCTACATTGCCATATAATCCAGTTCAAAGCAGATAATCTTGATTTTTTATGGCAGTGTAGATGGGGCCTAAGAAATGTTTTGAAATGCATTTAATGTGGCCATAATTATTTACTGGATGATATAGGAGCCACTAACTGTGCTCCYTGCAGTCATGCTGGCCACATGACCTTCGAGSTGTCTACAGACAACACTGGCACTTCGGCTTCAAAATGGAGATGAGCACCAATCCCCAGAGTCTGACACGACTGAACTTAATGCCCAGAAGAAAACCTTTACTTTCCTGTCGTAGTCACTGTGAATCGTACATTTGGTATCTCTGCGCCTGCGCAGTACAACTTACGGAACCTAGAAAGTAAAGAAACATTTAGCCCTCAGCTAGGCCCGCCCATTCCCCCCCTCGAGTATATATAGCCCGTGGGCGGGACTAGCCGACAGTTCTCTTAATTCGCTAGTGCGTTAGCAGCTTAGAGGACCTTCTATTCAAATTTCTAATCTGATCTACGGACTGATTGCCTATTTTTGACTTTGGACTGACTTTTGACAACTCTTCTGATCCACTGACTCATTGCCTAATTTTTTGACCTTGGACTGACTCTGACAACGCCTCTGCTAAGCCCTCTTGCTACTTCAGACTGAAAGGTACTTCGGACTTTGGAACGTTATTGACCCAGCATTACTGAAAATGGCCACTACTTCTTTTAAGAAGTGCTCCAAATGCCCAAACATCCTCCCGGATACCGACGGGCACTCTCTTTGCCTCACCTGTTTGGGCGAGGCCCATCTAACTCAGGCCTGCCACATTTGCGCTTCGTTCACTCCTCAAACGAGGAAGAACAGGATCTCCAGGCTCAGGGCGGCCCTTTACGAGAGAGCCCTGATGCCCCCTGATGCCCCAGACAGATGGGCTATATATACTCCGGGGGGGGGGGGTGGGCGGGCCTAGCTGAGGGCTAAATGTTTCTTTACTTTCTAGAAGATTCCGTAAGTTGTACTGCGCAGGCGCAGAGATACCAAATGTACAAATTCACAGGTGACTACTCAGGAAACTACAGTTACAGGTAAGCAACTTATAACTTTACCTGATAGGAGACACTACAGAATGAGTGTGTTGAAACACATTTTTTGGCTCAGTATGATATGGTATCGTCTAATCTAAAGAAAAATGGCAAAATAATCTTTACCTGGCGTAAGGTCAAGGATTTTGGCTGTAGGTTTATGTTGGAAGCAGTCCACAGCAACCTGGCACTAAAGAAAGGGTAATTTGCAAAAACAAAACATCCTTAACTCATCCTTCATGAGATTTTAATCTGATTGTACAGTCCTTGAGCTCAGAAAAATCACAATTTTAGTTCCTGTGAAGGTCTTGTGAAGGTTATGAGTTGGAGCTTCCTTTCCAAACCTGGTGTCTTCTAAATGTCCTGTTTCAAAACTTTTATCATTTGCTAGCCTGCAAGAAAGCTAGGCCCTTTATCCACTATTCGTTTAATGTGAGACTGGCAACTCTCCTTAAATGGATCAGTAATGAACCATTGACATGCATAATAAAAACAAAATCCCTTAGGGACTTTTACTGCCTTCTGTTTTGAACTATTAACACCACCTTATAGGCTGCTGCATTTTCCTTGCTGTAATATATAATAAATATGTGATGAAGCTATTGTTGAACTACAATAACAAATACATATTTTATCAACTGTGTTCCTCTTTTCTTCCTGTGGAATAATTGGCTTTTTCATTTTCTCTGGCTGTTGGAAATACAGAATATTTTAAACGTATGAGTAGTTATAACTGCTCATATGGATGGTGTACAAATGATCAACTGCTTCATTTCTTGTCTTACACTAAATTACTCAAATCTGTAAGTTTCTGTTCGTAAAGTCATTCCCCTTGTGCTGGCCCAGCTTAGTGATTCTTAAAACTCAGCGTTTTATCATCCATGTGTTTCTAAAGTATATAGAGCTTGATGATTTCTTTGTAATTCAGCCATGTCTTTGAAGGTCATCCATTCTTCTACAGAGCCTCTATCTTGGTTGGCTTTGACTTTGCATTCACAAATATCTGCGTCAACATGAAAGAGAACTTAAAACATTTTTATCAGGTTTTGGATCCCTCTATTTACTAAGCAGCTATTATGTTTTCGTAGTTCAAAGCTTAGATTTGTTTTATCTTGTACCTCTCTAAATGTTCTTAGTAGCAACTTCCATCACTTGTAGCTAACACTGCCAATGAGTGAGGAATTCTGAGAGTTATAGTCTAACAACATTTGCAGGGTCACAGATTCTTTCAATTCTGTAATGCAGTGGTTCCCAACCTTTTTTTGACTAGGCACCACTTGACCAGGGACCTTTTTGACCAGGGACCACTTTGACCAGGGATCACTCTCCAACATTAGTACCAAAAGGGTTATGAATTACTTTTTTAGGCAACCTTAGATTTGGTTTGGGAAGCTGATTCAGAAAATTGCATTGGATAGACCTCATCAGCTCTAGTTTCTGATAGGGAAAGAGTGGCAGGCAGCACAAAAGTTTTTGCAGTTGTCTAAAAAAACTAAATAGAGATGGTGAGACTTGGAAGTGAAGGCAAGTTGTCTTGCATTCCCTCAACTTGAAATCCAACTTGGTGAAGGGTTCTGAAGAACTATTTTGTGACATTTCGGTGGGTTCTAATAAGGTATTTCTGAATTAGGGCTTTGTATTGCTTTTTAAATGCTTTTTAGTACATGGAGAGAAATAGAGATGGGGCAGACCAGTGACTCTAAACAAATCTGTCTGTGGATGATGTTGAAGCCATCAGAAGCAATGTTAACAGGTCTTCATGAAGTCCTTTGCATTCTGAATTGCTAAGAGGTTCAATATTTCTTCATTTTTCTCCTTCAGACAGTCAATCAGATTTGGATAATACAAGTGGAGGGAGCGAAGCTCTTGACTTGACCTCTGGAGAACAAGACCACCCAGAAGAGGCAACTGAATTTCCAGAAGTATCAACGAACAGTCACAAAGGAGAAGAGGAGAAAATGGACCTCTCTCAAGGAGAGGGTTGGAAGGAAGAGGAGAAGAGACAGGAAGAGGCACAAGAGAAATTAAGTGAGGGTGATGAGGAGCCAGAAGAAGACTCTGTCAGCAACAGAAGTCTGGACCTCAATTTTGCCAGCAAGTTAATGGACTTTAAGCTGGCTGAAAGTGACCAGAGCACAACTAGTGGAGCTCAGACTGAACACAAGCACACTTGCAACATTTGTGGGAAGTGCTTCAAGTTTGCAGGCACTCTTACACGACACAAAAAAGCTCATGCACACGATGATGGGAGGGATGAAAAGAGCAATGAGGATGGAAGCAAAGATTTTCAGGGGACAGCCCAAGTTTCCATTGCTCAGGAGGAACCTGCTCTTGAGCAAGAAGAATCCAGAATGGACACCAAGATAGTAGAAGCCACCACAGATGGTGAGGCAACAGGAAGGGAGAATGAGGAGAGCGAAAGCATCTCTGAGGGGGAAAGCATGGAGAGAAAATCTTCTGAGAAGAGTGACGATGAAAGAAAGCCAAAGGCTAATGGTGGGGTTAAAGGTGAATCAAAGGCAGACAAGAGAAAGAAAGTTTGTACAGTGTGCAACAAGAGATTTTGGTCTCTGCAAGACTTGACACGGCACATGAGGTCCCATACAGGTAAGCAGGGGCTAATTTGGCATTATTGACAACACTTTGAATGACCATACAAGGATGCCTAGGTTATAAAATTTCCAGGAGATGCCTTTCTCTCAATTTTGCCAATTTCAAGGTCATATTTTGTGGGAGCCTAGAAGAAGGACATTTCAGTGGCCAAACCAAACCCTCGACTATTTAGCATCCATACTCTGTGTGTGTGCATAGGCCTTCATGTCCCCTGCCAGTGTGTGGTGACTCCTTGAGCTTTGTAGGGTTTCCTCAGTCAGAAGTGTTTTTGACAATTCTTTTCTCTGAAGTATAGCACCTGGTATTCATTGGTGGGGAGCCCCGGTGGTGCAGTGGGTTAAACCGCTGAGTTGCTGAACTTGCTAACTGAAAGGTTGCAGATTCGAATCGAGGGAGCGGCATGAACTCCCACTGTTAGCCCCAGCTTCTGCCAACCTAGATGTTAAAAAACATGCAAATGTGAGTAGATCAATAGGTACCGCTCCAGCGGGAAGGTAACAGCGCTCCATGCAGTCATGCCAGCCACATGATCTTGGAGGTGTCTATGGACAACCTCTTTGGCTTAGAAATGGAGATGAACACCAATCCCCAGAGTCAGACATGACTGGACTTGTCAGCGGAAAACCTTTACCTTTTATTCATTGGTGGTCTAAAGCACTAATACTGTTTATTTTCCAGTATCAAATGGATCTAGTGCTTTTAGGATATTTCGACCATCCTCTGTGCTATATCCAGAACAACACCTTGTCTTTAGTAGCCTGATCACACCACCACATGGCCAGATATTATCTCTTCTACTGATGCTGAATATGACATCCTGCACATTATAACGCAAAGAAGGAGCTTTTCTTAAGCACACAGCTTCTTTCACATGACACAATTATAATGTTGTGATTCCACTTTAAGTGCTGTGGTTCCATCCTATGGAGTCCTGGGTTTTGCAGCTTAGGGAGTGGTTCACCTTTGGGTTGCAATAAGTTGGAAACCACTTGAAAGCACATAGCAACAATGATTTAGCAGATGCAGCCTCAGGGCTCCTGTAATGCCTCACTAAGCTACCAGTCCCAGTACCCCGTAGTATGTAGCCATAGCTGTGATAGTGGAGTCATAGTACTATAATTATATAGAATGAAAGATGCCTTGGTCACATGACAATGTTCCACCTGCAGGGTTTGGTCATGCAATGATCTTTTGACCCGGATCTTATCTGAATCTAAATAAGAAAATTATCTTACACTCTAACAGTTTGAATAATTTCAGTGGAGTTTTTTAAATTAAAAGTTAGCTTGGAGATATAAAATATTTGGTGGTTTGGGCCATAAAGAGTGCATTTATCAGCAGCATACGTATGCATGACTCTAAAAAAACTACAGGTCCTTCCAGTAAAGACAAAATGACATGTAATTAGAAATTCCTGAAATACTATAATGCTAAATGAATTATGAAAGGATTTTTTTCTGCAAAAGTTCAGTAAAATTGTAATTATTTTCTAATGTGCTTGTAAGAATGCATGGAGAAATCCTTATACTTTCTATTTTTTGAAAGATACAACAATTTCCCCTCAGAATCAATCTTTAACTGTAGGGGCCAGATTTGCCCCCATAGTTTTACTGTTGTGGTCATCTCTCCTGTGTTGGCCTTTCACCTCTCTTTTCAAAAATGATATGGGGGTGGGTCAAAAAGCTTTCCTCCTGTGTCATAAAAATGTTATAAAATGTTATAAACATATAACAGCAGAAGTTGCTACAGATCATAGCTTCAATTGTCCTCTATACAAAACTACCATTCAACATATAGTCACCATCAATTTGTACACATTTGCGTCATCATTTAACCCAGGCAGCAAAACCATTTTGGAAAATTCAGGGTTTTGCTTCATGATTCACGATTTTAAAGCTGTTTGAATATCAATCAAGTCATTGAAACTGAAACCACGTAGGTTGTCTTTCAGAGGCCAAAACAGGTAAAAGTCAGAAGGTACCAAATCAGGGCTTTAAAACAGCTTTAAAATCATAGGTCATAGAATCATAGAGTTAGAAGAGACCTCATGGGCCATCCAGTCCAACCTCATGCCAAGAAGCAGGAAATTGGCATTCAAAGCACCCCTGACAGGTGACCATGAAGTAAAACCCTGAATTTTGCCAAAATGGTTTTGATGCCTGGGCTAAATATTTGTGCCAATGTGTACAAATTGAAGGTGACTATGTTGAACAGTAGTTTTGAGTAGAGGACAGTTCAGGCTATGATCTGTAGCAACCTCTGCTGCTATATGTTCATTTATCATGTTTTTATGACGCAGGAGGCAAAACTTTTTGACCCACCCCCATATAAAGGGAAAACAGATAATGCAAAGACATAAACCTTGCTCTATGTAACAGAGTGCACTCTTAGAAAAGTAACACTCCATTCATCCTGTTGGTTCATAAAATGTTTTTCAATGAAGGATCAAAAAGGAAATGCTGATTCATGAGATGTTGGGCTGTTTTTCATGTTTCCAGGGATGTACTACTCCAATTGGAGACTCAGTTTTATCCCCCCCCCTTTTTTTTGGAAGCGGGGGAGGTTCTGTAATGAAAAACTGCTTTGTCATTACAGCTGGCTAAATTTCATAAAATTGGCCAGATTTTCTGTAGGAAGTCCCTCTCTAGTTTAATGGTGAAGAACTAACATACTTCATAAGTAATTCATGTTGCAAGCACACTTGAGTCTTTTTAATATAATTTTCATTAAAGGTGATTGTCTACAGGGCTAATATCAAGGCTGAAAATCCCACAATCTCTGCTTTGAACTGGGTTATCTGAATCCACACTTAGATGTGGGATTTTTTGCCTTGATATTATGGGATATAGGGCTGTGTGGAAGGGCCCTCAGTGTGGATTCAGATAACCCAGTTCGTAGCAGATATTGTGGGATTTTCTGCTTTGGTATTCTGAGATATAGAGCCATGTGGAAAGGCCCACAGAGATTATGCAAAAATGTTACAGAATGTTTGAATATTCTGGCTGTTTAGCTGCTGTGGTTTTTATTAAAACCTATCAGTGTTCAAAAACTATTGATAGCTTGAGGCCCTTCCACACACCCCTATATCCCAGAATAATAAGACAGAAAATCCTACAATATCTGCTTTGCAGTTCAAAGCAGATAATTTGGGATTTTCTGCCTTGATATTCTGGGTTATAGGGCTGTATGGAAGGGCCCTCAGTCTGTTGGAAGCCAGGGGTTCAACAAAGAAAGGAGCAGGCAGCATTATAAAACATGCTAGGCAGCTGTTTAGACTCTTCAAGTTGGAAAATGTGTTCCATATGCTGATTGTATACATGTGTGAGTTTCATATCTGATCACATGAAAGGTGTAAACATATGAGGAGTGCCCTGGAAACACTGGCCATGCTGACTGGGGATTCCAGAATCCCAAAAGTAACTTGGTCTAATATGTTTCGCATTGAATGTTTGCCGTTATTATGTTGTGCTCTGCCCTGAGTCCCGTTCGGGGTGAGAAGGGCAGAATATAAATGCTTTAAATAAATAAATAAATAAATAATATTTCCTAAATCTCCATAACCTGATGCAGGTTCTGTTGGGGAACCTGAGCTTTTAGGCTCAAAATAACCCTCAGTTGGGGCGATTCCACCATAAATATAGCAAAGTACCGGAAGTAAACTTCATAACCAGCAGAAACTTACATGTGATGAGCTGGGATAAGCTTCTATTCCTTAGGGTGGCACAGGATTGCAGAGTCTGAACTTCAGGTTCAAAAATATTTATTGATATCAAAGAAATACATACCAGATAGAAAAGGTTTTGGAACTAACTAGCTTGCTAAATCTCATCTTCTAAAGAGGTAAAAGGGAAAAAAATACATGCAGCTACATTTTGCCTAGAGAGAGGCAAAATGCATCCTTACTGGAAGAATGGAAAAAAGCAGAAGAAGAAAAAATGGAGAAGACCACAAGGTCAACGCAAGGGGAAGTTCCCTCACAGAATTCCTTTGCTACATTATCAAAGGGGGAGGAGACAGTGGCAAGGAGGAAGAGTAAAGACAAAGTCCTTTTGCGGGAAAACATGCATAGGAATGTGTGTGTGTGTGGGGAGGGGGGAGGAATCCCTTAACCTAATCCTATCTCTAGTCTAGCTACTCATTGAGGTCTGGAAACCTGATGATACAAGTCCAGGGATGAAACCCAACAGGTTCACTTTATTTTTCATGTCTTTTGTGGCTCCGACTGATTTCAGTTTGAAATCAGTGACATGTGCATGTCACAAAACCTTGAAAAGAAAAAGCAAAAATTTAATAAAGAAAGGATGTTTATTTCTGCAGAAGATGGGTAGCTGTGTTTCTATTTAATGTGCTTTTTTGATAATGTGCTTGTATGAATGCATAGTACTTGTTAGAAATCAAAATTTGAAACTTTTTTGATTTTTGTCCTAGGGGAGCGACCTTACAAATGTCAAACCTGCGAACGGACCTTTACTCTGAAGCATAGCTTGGTTCGCCACCAGCGGATCCACCAGAAGATAAAGAGTGGAAAGAACCACGAGAAAGAGAGTGACAAGGAGGATGTCCGCTCCAGGGAGGAAGAGGAGGATAGCGAAAGTGAGTCTCTCCACAGCAGCACCAATCCCATCTCAGAAACCGAAAACGACTTGCTGGTGAAACAGGAAAGCTCATCGCCGGTCACTCGGAGCCGCAAAGAGAGCCTTGCCAATGCTGCAAAGGATCCTATTAACAAGGAGGACAGGCCAGTCCTACGAGCAGCTGGCCCGTGTCCTGCCGAGTCCAGCAAGAACACCCAGAAGCAAGCATCAAAAGAGCAGGAGTCTCCTCGGGGAAAGGGGGATCGTGAGAGCCCCTCGGGCTTAATCCAGGACTTACTGGAGATTCACAACAAAAAACCTTCCATGAATCATATTCTTGCCTCGGCAGAGAATGCGCCTCAGCTCTTGGGAGTTGAATGACAGCTGTGATGCCTGGCGTGCCCCAAAAACTGATCCAGCACACACAGAGATGGGGATGGAGTTGACCACACAACCCCTCCCCCCAGATGTTGAATCATCCTGCTGTTTTGATGAGGGGAGGGGAGTGGGAGATGGGGTATGGCAGTCTGAAATCAGTGCCATAAATCTTTCAGTATAAATAATGCAAGAGACTACAGTTATATACTGATCTGAGTGCCTTACTACTTTATTAGGTCTTTTGGTATCATAGATTTTTTTAAGACAAAAAGATGATTTTTTAAAAAATATATTTTAATGAAACTATTTGGAGAGGACCTTCATTTTTTTTCATTTAAGCATTAATGTTACTTTTTGTATTGGGGTGTGTGAGCTTGTTCTTGTATATCTGTGATAGCCGCTTTTGTGTGTGCTCTGAGCTGGAAACAAGGGGTCAGTGGGGCGAGGAAGCCCTTAGAAACTGTAGCCAATAACTGGAAGAAGACTTTAAAAGACACCCCCAATAGAGGAACTGCAAATAAGGTGTTGATTTTGTTTTTTGTTTTCTTCTTTTCTTTTGTCTTTCTTATTAGACATTGTTTGTATTTGCCACATGGGGGAGAATTAGCCAGTCCCGGGTATGGTTGATTAAGGCTTTCAAACTTGGTCCAAGCCAAAACCAGGAAAAACTTAAAGTTAAGCCTCACTTGCTTCCCCTTTCTTTTTCTTTCTTTCTTTCGTTTTCTCCCTACATTGGCAATTATGATGTTCTAGCTACTGTCATTTTGAAAAATGCTCTTTCTGGCCATTGTGGACCTTTGAGAGCATAGAAAGAGTTGCATAGCGACTTTAAAACCTATGGAAATTATGCACCCACTGTTATATATATATGTTTGATTTGTGCTTCTATATATTATTGTTATTTTAATATTTTATAAATTTTTGTCAGTTGCTAGTCTCTGCGTTCAGCAGAAAACCAATGGGCAATATTTGTCCGCGGAGATCTACAACGCAGCTTGGATGGCCTGCTTAAATGCTTCTGATCTAATCTCTCTCTGACTCTCCCCTACTGGGTTTGCAACTCTTTCTACTGTATTTTCTATAGAACCCTCTTCCCCTGAGTACAGCGCCAAACGGAGGCCAAGTGCAACCTAGATGGACTGAATGTGTGTTGCAATAGGTGGAGGTGGGAAGAGAAATCTCAGCACCGAGCCCCACCTGTACTTTACATGTGTACAAACCATAGGCTTGTTTGAGCAAAGGCAAGGACTTTGCATGGGCAGATCCCACCTATGTCTTGTTTGTATACCACTTCATCACACTAAAGAAAAAATACACTTAAAATCCATTTTCTGCCTCCTACAGAATTCTGGAGTTTGTAGTTTTGGGAGGCTATTAAAGGCTCCTCCCTAAACTACAAACCCCAGAATTATGCAGGAGGCAGAAACCGATTTTTAATTGGATTTTTTCTCTAGTGTGATGAGGCTAGGTGAGGAGTGAGCCTTGGTGCTATGATTTCTCTTTCCGCCTCCACTCCCATTCAAATTCAGTTTATCTAGATAGGTGTCATCAGAGCCTCAGTAGATATTGGAAATGCAGGTGACAGTTCAATGAGAACTAAGAAGAAGACTTGGCAAGCTGGCATGAAGAGGAATGTTAAGGGAAAGGGAGCCCTCCCAATTGCAAGCAGAAAGCACTGCAAATCCCATGAGGTTAATATTGTTCAAAACCACAACTGTTATTTTTTTACACTGATGAATAAGATGTTCAGTCTTCCAAAATAAAATGGGGGGGGGGAGCCTTAAATTAACTTGCTACCTTAACGTGCTTTAAAAGAAGGAAACAAATCAGTACTACTGCCAATACAACTTACAGATTGAGAAAACCCAACTTCCTTCCCAATCTTTCAGGAGGTTTTCCTAAATACTTAACAATGTGGGGAATTGGGATTAGTCCATGTATCCTGTTGCCGGCAACAGGAGGCATTATAAAATGCCAACTTTAGGACTGTAATGCACAGGCCAGTTAAGCTGGTGTGCTAGGATTCAAGATCTGTTTCCACCCTGAAGTATAGCCCATTAATTTTGAAAGAGAGAAAGAAAAATAGTAGAGTTGCCTTTGGCATAAATTAATTTTAAATATGGCTGTTTGCTACGTTCTCGTAACAATGCAAGAGCAAATTGGAAGGTTCAAATCTTGATCATGTTCCTACTTATTGTTTGACTCTGGTCCACTATGCAGATCTTACAACCATGTGTCACAAGAATAACTGGACCTGTCACAAGAATAATTAGATCTCTGACATTTCATCAGTCTGGCATGACGTACATTTATATCTTTGGGTGATTTTTCTGATTGTATACCCTGATCTTTAGGATGGAAGGGGAAGTAACACTGGAATCATCCCTCGGTTTCTTGTTTGTGGGCCCAGTGCTCACTCAAAGTGATTCCTCTTTCCCTCCAAAAGAATGGAGCCTTTGGCAACACAACCACATGTGTGGACTTACCCTTTTTGTCAGCAACAAGCCATACACCCATGGGGCATCACTGGATCACAGCCGGTCTTTTATCATCAGCCTCGAGACAGATGACATCCATGTTTGTGTTCAGCTTAACTTAAGAGTTCAGAAAAGTTGATTTCTTGGACTATAAGATTCTAGAACTTGTAGCCCAAAAACTCAACTTTTCCAAAATCTGGATACTTACAGATCAAGCATAGGCATTCCAACGAAATAGGTGTATTTTGCAACATATAGGTTAATGCACATCTTCCCTTCTAGAGCAAAGGAAGGCAGTGTATTTCCGGAGCCTCTCTTTGGTGTTCCTCACTTTGAGCCCTTTTCATTCACACTGTTAGATACTCAACCACCACTGTCTCTATACCTCAAATTATGCTCTTCGACAAGAACCTTTGAAAATAAAATGGGACTTGTGCAGGTATAATAGACTTGGATGCGCCTTCAGAATTGGAAGAAGGGAATATTATGCCAATCTGCTTAATATCCACTATTTCCTGGAGGGTTCAGTCAGATGAGGGGTTGGGAGATGATTTTGAAGCAATAATATTTCATATAGAATTTTTTAATAAAGAGGGGAGAGAGAAGGATGTTAGATATAGATTTGATTTTTGTTGAGGGTATGTTGAAAAATCCTGAAACCATTCCTTCGGCTTAGTAAAAAACAAAACAAATACCAATGATTCCTCTTTTATATTAAAATAAAGATCCTGTTAAATGAACATGTTCATCAATGCCAACTTATGCACCCCTTAATTTTTATTGTTATTATATTATAATTATTATAATTATTATTATTATTTGGGGATTTTCGTTTTTTGGCAGCTCTCCACACTAAACTGCGCGCAATACTGTGGGAGAGAAGCCATTAACTAAACCAGGACTGTCAAACCCGTGTTCTCTCCCGGACTGGGTGGGTGAGTTCCCCCCACGAAGATGCTTCATAGTCTTTCCTAGCAAGCTTGAAACATGGCTTCCGTCTGGGGGAGAAGAGGGTGCAAATTTGACAGACCTGAACTAAACTTTATGCTGCAGAAATAATGTAGCAAATAATTTCCCAGCACCCTGCCGGGACATCTGCTAGCAATAATCACTATTGATTTAAAGCTTTATTTAGCCTTTATCTGTATCCAAGTAGATTTATTAAATCTTGCCACATTTTACTGATGTTTTTATTAGTTGCATTTGATGGAGGAAGAAAAAAAACCTTGTCCTTATTTTCTTGTTCTGTTTTCCTCTTGTTGACCTGCTCCCGTCTCCTCACATCCACCTCACCCCCCCCCCTTTAATATTAAACTGTGAAATTTATAATGTGTTTAAACTATGGGTGAATCTTAGGTTTAGTTTTGCATGTTCAGTTAATTCGTTTCTCTACATCTTTTTGATTTCCCTCCCCCCATTTTTTTTTCCTCTTCTCTCAGGGCTTTTAAAAAAAACAACCTATTTTTTCTGCAATTGTCAAAATTTTCAATGGAGCTAATGGTGAGAATCCAATCACTACAATAAGCACTTGACTGTGAAAGCATAGAAAGAAAGAAGGAAAAAGGAAAGGAAACCAGGTTCAAATGTTTTTAGCTATAATGATGCAGCTGAACCGGAACAAGCTCTGTTGATGGATTAATTCCCATTTCCAAATGGTGTATGTTTTCCCTCACCTCCTCACACTGATCACAACTTCTTCCATTACCCTATAATAGGGGCAGGAGTACCTCCATATCCTATGATGAGCCTGTGCTATGTTGTCTCCTGAGTTGCTTGGATCATGGAACTGTGGTGTTAAATTAACAATGGTAATGCTTAGGCCAGTGCTTCTCTACCTGTGGGTCTCCAGATGCTTTGGCCTTCAACTCCCAGAAATCCTAAGACAGTGGTTCTCAACCTGTGGGTCCCCAGATGTTTTGGCCTACAACTCCCAGAAATCCCAACTGGTTTACCAGCTGTTCATATTTCTGGGAGTTGAAGGCCGAAACATCTGAGGACCCACAGGTTGAGAACCAGTGTCCCAACAGCTGGTAAACTGAGATTTCTGCGAGTAGTAGACCAAAACACCTGGTGACCCACAAGTTGAGAACCAGTGTTACACCTTTTAGCCCAAAGTAGAACAACCTATGGCTGTCTCAATATTTTTTTTATTCCAATTCCCATGATCAGTCCTCCACCATTGACTATGTTGGCTAGGGCTGTAGGAAATAATGGTCTGGCAATATCTGGCTGCAACTATTCCGGTTTCAAAGAAAATTATGGGGCAAACATCCCTGAGAAAGCAATCAGGAAAAGACACTTATGCCATGTAAAGCATACTTGTCTCTATTTCTTTCAGCCATAGCTAATACTGCCAATGTTTCGAGGAACCAACGTCTCAATCACAGGTTCTTTCCTCGCTTCGTTCCTGTGCCGGTAGGACATGTTTTTTGTTAGAGGAGTTGGAGTATGGGAAAGGAGGCTGCCTTTTCACCCCTCTCCCTTTCTCCACTCAGGAAGGAAATTTGAAATCCCACAAATTTCAGTCCCTGCAAGGAAATGACGATTAAGATGTAGAATTCCTATTAAATATATAAATATAAATATATATAATTTCTTTTTGAAAGGGAACGTTTAAAAACTGCTGCTACGAGTTGTGTACAAGACTGGTTTATGCCACATGAACAGAGAATCACGTGTTTTGTTTGGGTACTTCTATTCCTCTTTTCATTCAGTTGTACGTTACTTCCAAATTCAAAGTGATAAATGCTGTTCTGTATCAAACAATCTACGCAATAAAATGTTATATTAAAAACAACACTCAAGAGGTTGCGATCAGGAATCGTTCTTTTTGTCAACTTGTCTATCGGGATGTATGGGTGCCTGTACGTGTATGGTGACATTCCTGAACGAAAGTTTCATGAGGCTGTCATGTCAGCTCAGTACAGTTATCTTATTTTCCCATCTTGCAAACTACATCTAAGTGAAGACCATTCTCAGCCCAACACAGGATTAAATAGTCCACAAATTTGTGTATTTGACACTTCTTGTTGAAAGGCAATCATGCTGATATATGCTTATATCTTCCTCTGGTGATGCAGTGGATTAAAGTGCTGAACTGCTGAATTTGTTGATCGAAAGGTCGCTTGTTTGAATCCGTGGAGCACGGTGATCTCCCGCTGTTAGGCCCAGCTTCTGCCAACCTAGCAGTTCGAAAACATGCAAATGTGAGTAGATCAGTTGGTACCGCTCCGGCAGTAAGATCACTGTGCTCCGTGAAGTCATGCTGGCCGAACGACCTTGGAGGTCTCTGGACAACGCTGGCTTTTCGGCTTAGAAATGGAGATGAGCACCACCTCCCCAGAGTCGGACACAACTGGACTTAATGTCAGGGAAAAACCTTTACCTATTCCCCTAACACGTCCTGAAATAAAATTAAAATGTTTCATCTATGTATGCCCATTGAACCTATGGTATCTAACGTTTTCTTGCTAGAGGTTAAGTAGGATTCAATTGCTAGTGTGGTCCAGTTTTTTTTAACAGGTGGAAGGTGGGTGGTAGTGGTATAATTGCTTCAGGAAGCAACGTTTCTTGAGCCAGACCTGTGAACATTCTTTGCTGATTTTAATTGCCTTCAGATAGGCTTTCACTTATTGCAACCCTATTTGTATGAGACATCCCAAGATTCCCAGTCACCAAAACTCAGTACTATGGCTTCTTTCCATAAGTCTGTAACACAGTCTTCCTCTTTGCTTACCACCTCCCCATTTAGCCATCTTTGTGATGTTTCCAATGGAACATATAATCTCATTACATGTCCAAAGTATAGTAGGCTTATTTAGTAATCTTGGCTCTTAGTGGGAGCTCAGACACATTTATTTATCATTTTTGGCAGTCTGTGATATCTGCAGGACTCTCCTCAAGCATATTTTAAGTGAATCGATCTTTCTGCTAGCTTTTTTTATTGCCTAGCTTTCATAACTGGACATAGAAATTGGAAATGCTATGGCATCATTGATTCTGATTTTGATATTTAATGATAGATCTTTCCACTGTTAAGATTCTAGTTAAACCGAAAAGTCAACTGGAAACTAGAGAGTTTATGTACTTACTTGTTTACAGTATTTATATTCCGCTCTTCTCACCCCTCAGGGGACTTAGGATGGATTATTATTATTTCGTATCAAAAACATTGCATAAATTAGTATAAAACCAATAAAAATAGAAGGAGCGCAGGTAGCTAAATATCTTTTGACCAAAAACAGGCAACAGCAATGGCGTTGTCTGTAACCTCTAACAATTCTTCCTCTGTACATGAGGCAGGGCATAGTGGACAAGCATACAGATGTGGAGTTGTTCTGCTCCACAGTCACACAAGGTGTGGGATTCTTTTAGGTAGTGCCATTTTGCCAGGCTGTCTTTTGTTCTGCCCTTTCCATTTCTGAGTCTGTTCAGGGACTTCCAAGTTGCCCATTCTTGGTTTGCCCCTCGAGGAAGAGTCTTGTGAGGGGGGGGGCATCCAGTTGGGGTTCCTAGTTTAGCTGCCCAGAGGGATACCCTTGTTGTTGTTGGGGGAATGCCAAGAGGAGTGGTAGTTCTCATAAAGTTTTCCTTGATTTGAGTCTACTGGGAGGAGGCTGGTAACCATGTAGTGGGTGGCTTTCACAGTGTTCTCTCACATTTGGCAGCAACTTCCTGTCACACTTCAAAGGGGGGGGGGCAATGCCAGCTAGCTTGTAGAGTTTATCAACAGGTGTAAGTTTAAGACATCCTGTGATTATTCTGCATGTTTCATTCAATGCTATGTTCACCTGCTTTGCATGGGCAGACCTATGCCAAACAGGGCAGGCATACTTGGCAGTTGAGTAAGACAAGGCTAGGGCTGCAAATTGGGCAAGGCTAGTTAAAATAAAATATGAGCCCATTTAAAGGATCTTCTAGAATTCTTTTCAAAATGTAAATAAATAATGGTTTAACTATTAAGTCACGTTTAAAAATTCTGCAGTGATAATGTAATCCTTTAAATGGGCTCATATTTTATTTTAACTAGCCTTGCCCAATTTGACAGTTTGCAGATGCTTTGTACTACAAACTCTCCAATTTAATTGCATCTGAAGGTTATAGGATTTATAACCCAAGACATACAGAAACTACAAGGTTGGGAAAGGTTTCTTCAGGTAATTTTCAGTTTTACCATTTACCTGTATCCTATTTCTGCTCCCCCTCTCCCCTCACATCCCATGAAACATGCATGCTTTTCTG